TGATTTGTTGTCTGAAGCAATAAGAAAAAAAAATACACACATGTTCTCCACTCTGCCTGTTTCCTTTCAGTTTAAGAGTTATTTGACTTCCTACTTGGAAACAGCTAAATCATGCTTCTTTAAAGGAGGCATGAAAGCAAAAGTTCCTTCCAGGAGGTCTGACTTTACAGTGATGAAGACGTCAAGAATGAAACCACAGTGGAAGTCACAGAGGAAACATGGTCGCAGCATGCCCGAGGGAATCCCCATGTGAGAGAGAGGAACACAGGCCGTGCACTCTTCACAAAACAGTATTTGTTCTGTTTCGCGATCCAGCCATTTTTAACCCATAAAATGAGCAGGAAAATCTCTCCAAAACAGAGATAAACACACATCACACGTGGCCAAGAAGACACACAACACTCACCTCTGTTGCGGAAACGAGAACCTCATCACAAGATTATTGCAACGGGAAACTCTTTGCGTCACACAGTTAAAGATGATCATCATAAGACTTCGGACAAATCCCGAAGGGAACAAGAGTTTATCTCTTGTACAAACTCCTCCAGCTCAGCTCTCTAAACAGCCGGAGACTGCTGCTTTTCGTTTGTCACTGTCACATAATGAATCAGTTTGCAGATGGCTCCAGTTATAGGAAAAACAAGATATCAGTAGGTGAGCTTTAATGACATCAATGTGGTTGAGTTTCAAAATCAATGTCAGGCTTTAAAAAAATCATTTCACAAACTGAACACACACACACATGCTGTATCAGCAGGATCCTAAATGCTGTTCATCTCAAGCCACTGCGCCTAATCCTTCCTCATTATTGCAGCCTGTTCTGAGCCACTATCAGCACTGCTATTCATTCATTCAGTCAATCAAAGGAGGAGGAGGAAAAAAACCTTCCCCATTTAAACCTCTTTTGCTTTGCACATTAGCTATGAAGACAATGCTGATTTCTTTTGCACTGATTTACACACACACACAGCTCCAAGGCAAAGACAGGGGAAGCCATGCTGCAGCTGTCCAACTGCTCTCCACACAAAAGGAGCCGCACAAAAAAAACCCATGTGTGCCTTGAATGTCACACTATTTCGCAAGCCGAGTGGTGTAAAAGAGTCTTAAACCCGCTCCTGTCTGTTAACAGGATGTAGCAGCAATGCAGAGACATACCGGAGCTGCTGTAACGCGGAGCTCACGGGACAGTGAATGAAAACTGTAGAAGAAGAATTAAAAATAAAATAAAATTAAACAAAAAAGGCGGCTGTGTGGGTAAAACAGAGTCATTTTTAAACAGCTTCCCCCTCTTTCAAGGCAGAGCAGAAGGGAGGAGGAGGAGGTAGCGGGCTAGTTAGCTTAAAAAAAAAAAAAAATGACCGCCACCGGTTCGAGGACGGCTCGACTCACCACCGGGTCCACGGTGCTCCTCACAGCCTCCGACACGCTCTGCCTGACTTCCGCGGCCGTCCCCGGTTTGCTCAGCCTCTTTGTGAATTTTCGGACCTCCGACATCGCTGCTTACAAATCTTGCGAGCCGGTGTGGGGTACGGGCATGCCGCGGGTAAACTGAGCATGCGGCAAGCGCTGGGTGTTTTTTTTTTTTTTTTGTGACAGCCAGATGTGAGCTGCGTCGGAGGGGAAGGCAGCCAGCGGTGGAGCGTCGCGAGGCGGGGCTGCTGCTGCTGCTGCTGCTGGTGATGATGATGATGATGATGGGGGATCGAAGAGGGGTTAACACAGCGAGATGCGTCACTCCTACCCGGTTCTGTGTCCCCAGTGAGCGAGCAGACTCATCGAAGATCGTCAATGTAGGAAGACGACAAAGTGGGCGTTAACCTGACAGCCGCTTCACTCAAATGTATTCATACCCTTCCATTAAAGAAAAGGTTAAATTCATAATAGTCACTCAAATAACTAGAAATTGAAAAATGTAATAATAAATAAAAATTTGCTAAATTATAATTTAGTGAAATACGACATTGCTTTTGAACTGTGGTTGAAAATAATAATTAAAAAAAAAAACTGTCCCGAACAAATTAGAGCACTTGGTGGGCCAAAATCAAAATACCTGTCAACAGGTGCAGAAGTCTGATTGAGAGTTACAGAAAACATTTTGTAGCAATTGCCTCAAAGGGTTGTTCAACAAAATATTAGTTTATGAGTCCCCATCATTCTTGTTTGTTTATTTTTTTAATATTTTTGTTGAACCACAACTCAAAAGCAATGTCATGGTTTTCATTAAATTTCTATTTATTACTTCAGTGACAGTTTTTCCTTCTTTAATGGGAGGGTATGACTACATTTGAGGACGACTTTGAGGACGGTTTACTGTATGGCACACAGGGGAACAATTTAATGGGCATTTAACATGTCATTTTCGAAATAAATGTGTGCCTAAGACTACTGAAACCTTAAAAAAAGTTTCTTGTGAACCAATGTGTGCTTGTGATTTGCATTTAAGGACACAATTTCTTAGCTGCATGGATGGGAAACAGTAAAATACTGTACATGGAACTGCAACAAATTAAACAGTTTCTGCAAGTTGCTGTAATAATATTAAGAATAAAGTGAAAAAACTACAAAACAAAAAGCTATCTACACATATTTGTCACTCTTGTGCCATGTAAGCTGGAATTCAGCTCTTTTTTTTTTTAGCTTTCATCAGTTTCAGAGCCAGGCTGCGACCATTACACACATTTAGGTGGTATAATGTCTCATTATGTCTTTAATTGCTTTGGGGTTTTTTTTTAAAAGCAAATTGCTGTACACCTAATTATAATTTGCTTATAAAGGAAAGCCTGCCATGTAGAAGTAAATGAGAACTTATGCAGTACAATAAGCTTTTTGATCTCAATTAAAACAGTTGCTGAACATGTTCTTTTCAAATTATAAATAAAGATCACAAGATTATGACTAATTAAATTAAATAAGACATAAATTCAATCCCTTTAGAAAGACATAACTGTCTGGAACAGCTGAGCTCTGTCAACATTGGTAGTATAGCCCCATCTTGTGGATGAAGCTGAAAACTGCAGGTTGATGGCACATTTTTCTCAGCTTCCATCTGCAGCACATACACATTTTTGTATTTCTTTTTACAAATTTGTACTCATTGTCTCATATTGAAGATCTTTCTGTAACACAAGTGTAGAAAAGGTTCAATTTCTTCATGATTTAATTAGTAACCAAAACAGAACCATGTAAATCCTGACATAATTTTAGATAAAGGCAGCACACATGGACATAACTTCATATATAGAATTGCATTTTATAAGACGCATTTGCTAGATTTCAGCTATATAAACCACACCAACTGATGAGTGTTAAGCTCCAGCAGAGGAGCATGAATTACTCACCATATGTGGAAGGATGCTGTGCACATGTCCAGACCTGCTTCATATATATTATTTCCTTTACAGCAACACTCAGCTCAGAGAAGTATGAATATTACATTAATCAGACTCCTGGTCGTAATGAATTATTTCAAGTTATTTTCTCCTCATCTTCCCGTGCTAACACATAAAGTGAGGTAAGCTGTGTAAATAAGAATCTATTAAAAATTCATTTAAACACTTTTATTTTAATTAAAGTTGCATCAAGTCGGACAGATGATTCATTGTCAAACAGGAAGAACATTTTAGGGCTGTGTTAGTATAAATAGAGCAATTCTTGCTTCCTTATGGCAACATTAGAGGAATGTAAAGATGCATCTTATTAAAGACTAACAATACTAAACAAGCTTTTAACTGTAATTGGGTTTGAGTAGACAAAGAAAACAGAAACGCTGATTAAAATGGGCTTAAGAGGTTTAGCTATTTTAGGGAAATCCCAGTTAATTAAACAACATTCTTAACTCAGGCGCTCTAATGGGAGTTATTCAACTCACCACAGAATTACTGAAGTGTTTTGTGTACTAAACTCAAATGCCGGCATGCCATTCTGGAAAAAAGAACAACGAAAAGGAAAAATGCCAGCTGTGATCTCAGTCTCTGATATCATCTTTACTTGTCATTGTACTTGGTGAATTCCTTCAGAGCCCAGTTTTTCATTTCTATTTCCTGCCGTAATCTGCAATACTCCTCAGCCAGGGATTCAAATTCTTTGCCCAAGATCTCAAAGGAGGACAGTTTTAACTCTACAGCCTGCTTCTCTGCTTTGCAGGCCTTCAGCTCCGACTCCAGCTTCTCCCTGCAAATGAGAAAAAGTCAGTTTCTGCAAATTCATCGGCCAGAATGTAGTTTCTGTCTTAATAACACAAGCCCAATGTGGCACATATTCTCTCAAAATAATCAGGGATGAAACAAACGTCCTCTTACCTTATTTTTCTGTGAGCAGATATTGAGTCGACTTTGTATGTGTCCAACTGAATTTCCACCATCTCAGTCCTTTGATGAAGAAGAGTAAAACATAAGAAACAGGACGCTGTGCATGGTTTATACATCTTGTGGTTGACTGTGAGTCACCATGGGAAGGAAAATGGTAATTAGCAGCCCTGGCTTAATGTATCCCTAATATAAAATGCAGCAAACAATATCAGATCCCCAAGTAAAGCTTTACACTAAAAGGCACCCGTACACTTCAACAGAATCACCTGATATACTTACTTTATCTTCTGTAGCACTAATTCACATTTGCCTTCAAAGTAATCTAATTTCTTCCCGTCCAAGTCTGTCTGGATCTTCAGCCTGTGATCCAAGATGAGAGACTGGAGAAGCTGAATGCATTTTGTCAGTTCCTGGTGGAGAAAGAGAGGAAGGAAACACAGTAATATATTGTTGTGGAAAATTAAACACATCATTTAAGCACCAGAATGTTCAAGTACTGGAGTTTGCCCACTGATCAATGCATACTGTGTCAGGCATGCACACTGCGGTTCGACTGCCATGAGCTGATTTTCATTGTTTAATCATCATCTGCACTTTTTGCAGCGAATAGGACTTAGGCTCCAAACTGTCATGAAAATGGTTTTACAAATATATGTTGTCCAGTCACACTTTTAACGGTCTCTAATGCATTACTGCTTCATTAAATATTTTAAATCTATTACACATTAAATATTGAACAGACGTTTGGCTTTTAAAAATTCACATTAACTGTCAGAAAAATTGCACTCAAATCATTCAGCCCTACCAAATGCATTCATAAGAGTACTCACAGAAAGGTAGAGCTGGGTCTGTCTTTGCAAAAGAACTGTGTTTTCCCGACAGGTCTCCTTGAGACTTTCTGCTCTTTTCTTCTCTTTGTCCAGCTGGGCGGACAGATGAGACAACTTGATGGTCTTCAGACCCTCACTCTCATTCTCTAGAAGAGATTACAAAACAATACGTCGGTCATCGTGTCAATGTAGAATAGCAAAGTGATGTGAACGTTCTGAAAGTCAACAAGAGGTTAAATAACACGGATAAGTCTTAAGAGTTTTCAGCTACTGTACCCCATTCAGGTTGATAGTAAGAGAGGAGGCTCAGACATTTTTCCTTGAGATGCATCTCCAGCTGGTGGGGTAGACTCCTTCTCATTCTTTGCACATTCTGGTAAAGAAATAATATAAAAATGGTTTTATGTGAAATTTGCGTTCCTCAAAAACATGTTTACTGTACACCTTATATTCATTTAGGCTATAAAAAATCCCCCCAAAACAAGATTTTAATTCTAAATTTGGATAGACTGTATTCTTTTCACTCACCTTCTCTAATGGCATGAGCTCCATCAAGTGTTGGGAGGTCAGGCCCAGTACAGAGGGCTGGTCCTGGTTTGTCGTATTACTGGGATCCAGCTGTCTGACGCACTGAGCCACTAGCATGGACTTCTGCATCGTCTCATAGAACTATAAACAACCACAACACGTTTTATATCTCTTATTATCCTTAAGTGGCATCTACTTTGAAACACTGCTGGCAATTAAACACTATATGGAAGATTGAAATGTAGTGAGGGTAAAATGATTCAAACTGTAATGCTTCAGGCTGTAAAATGTGCAAAAAATCTGTGAAATGTACCATGTTCTGGTCAGGGGGTACAATGGTGTGGTGCTTCCTGACGCAGTGGTCCTGGCTCATCTCCTGCAACCCTCTGTGGAGAATCTCAGAGCGCAGCCAGTGACTCCTCTGGCTCTGCAGCTTCTGTTCAGCCTAGAAAACAAGCAGCCAGATGTGTTAGCTTTCACAAATACGCAAAACTCTACAGTGCCAGACTTCTGGAAGTGGTTCTATCTGTGCTGCTGTAGTTCTCACGAGTTGCCAGTAGAGGTCAGGGAGTCCTAGACTCTTTACTGAGTAGGTAATTATAAATAACCATGCTGTAAGATCAACAAATATATGCTGTATACAACAGAAATGAGTAACACCTCTATGCTCTATGCACTTAAAGGTCAAATAATTCAATCACCTTACAGTACTTGCATTACTTCGTAGTTGAGCAGTAGGGAAGTAATTAAGAACTAACAGTTGAGGTTTGCTATATTAAAAATTTAGGCTCCACAACATGAACTCAATGCAAAAAAAAAAAAAAGAAAGAAAAGAAAAGAAAATCAGAACATTCCTGAAATTCGAATATTTTACTTTTTCATTACTTGTATGTCCAACTTAAATCCTGAAGACAGATTTAATCCTTTTTATGATTAAGGCAGTGGCACAAATTTCTGGAGAGATTCTTCAGATACTTTCTTTGTCCTAACTTTCTTTTTAAAATACCCTCAAATTTGTTATATTAGATTCAAGTCAGACAACATACTTGGCCAGGTCACAATTTTTTATTGTTTTTGTCTTTAAAAACTCTTGTGTGATTTTGGCAGTGTGCTTTGGATCATTATCATGCTGGAATATTCCACCTCTGCCAAGCTTGTGCAGACTGGAAGTCCTCTTGTCAGAGAGTATTTTGGGATATTCATCGGCATTTATGTTGTCAATATATGTTCGTGTCATCTCTCTGACAACTTTTCCTCTCCTGCAGCCATATATCATCACATTCCTACCTGTATTCTTCACTGTCAGGACTATGCATTCACTGTGGTAGTCCTAACCAGATTCATGCCAACTATGCTAGACCCTATTTCAACCAAAAACATATATCTTGGCCTCATTTCTTCTTTTCAAGTAATTTGGTTTAGTTTTGTGTCAAAGAGTAAGCAACGACATAATTCTTGGACACGATCCATGATGGTTGACATTGTGCAATGCCCTTATATTGTCTGAGATGTCACAGAAACTCTGATTTCCACTGATAACCCTTGCGCCCTGTCTAAAGCACTTGCCCATCTGTTTTTCGAGAGCATCTCAGACAGCTTCTCACAGCTGCAGCTCTAATTACTGATACTATGCCTCATTCTATACCTCCTGAAATATTCCTCTTGTTAACATAGAAATAATGCAGTTACTGTAAGGTGATCCAATGTTGAATCATTTGGCATTTAACTGAGAGGCGTACTCACTTCTTTTGCATACTATAGCATATTGGTCCCACTTAAACATAGCAAAGTGCTTTGATTTTGGAAACTGGAAAACAACCACTGATACCTTGTCCAGCTCAGTTTTCAGTTGAACAGTGAGTCCGGTTTTGTCCACATGTTGTGCAAGAGTGGCCAGAAGTTTACAGAACTGAGGGTTGAGGGTCAGATCTTCTTCTGTCATGTCGCACAGTGGGAAGGAAGCGAGAACTATGTGGAAGGACAATAAATAAGGTAACTTTATTATCAGTTCACATTGAATCATTGTCAAGAGATTTAGTTAGAAAGAAGCATCTTAAACTTAATGCTATTAACAACATGGCTTCATTCACATTCAGTCTATTGTTATGTGTATCCATAAAACATCGTGTCACTTATGTTAACGGATATGATATCGTAATATTTAAGTACTACGTCAATTTCCTATGCCGTAACTTCTCTCTCATTTTGAAATAACCTGAGTTTCATTCCACCATAACAATAACGCAGTAAATTTGTTTTCTTACCCTGTTGATGCAAACCGTCTCCCTTCCCAAGCGACGATATGTTTGTTGTTTCTGGACCCGCGGACATTTTCCACTTAATTGTGTTCCTTAGTAAACAAACAATTTGGAGGTTTTAGGGTTTTAAAAGCTTTTCTAACACGAAGACATGAAACTGGTGCGTGTACTTCCTGAATCAAGTTGCGCGCGTCTGCAGCAAGCCCTCCTATTGGCCAACTCGCCCACGTGGACAATACAGTCTCATGCGCGAGCTCTGCCAGCCTAACCATGTGACGTTCGCGGGAGCGCGCCAAGTGAAAATTATTGAAAATTATTGATTTCGAAGGAAAATTACGATTTAATAACAAAATAATCTTATTTGACAATAATAATGAAAATATGCACGGTATAATTGTATGTATATATTTCATTTAGAATGTTAAAATTCAAAATATGTAACAGATATATAGACTAAAACTGAAAAAGACCCAAACCTACAGACACACTCAATGAGGACTGCAAGTAAAATTTACATTTACACTACTTTGTGTTACAGCACAAGTCTAGATGTTTATATATGAGGGTTGATGGAATAATGTATCAGGAAAGGGCCCCATATTCTTTTAAACATACTCTAAGTGTTGTGTTTGTTCTGATGCCGTCCATCAATTTGTGTAACAGATAGCATCTCCTTAAGAGAGTGCTTAAAGCTCGGACGAGAGGTGCATTTCCAGGTCAGAAGAATATATTTCTTTAGCCACCACTATTCCAAGGTGCAGTGCAATTTTCACAATAGATGAAAGTTTTTAAAGTATCTGCAGAGCATTTAGAGACTGCCAGGTTGTGATTGGGCTCTATGTCTCTAGAGATGGTTTTTGAGAGCCATTCCAAAATAGCAGTCCAAAACCAAAAAAGATAGGCTAGCAACCCTTCAGCAGAGGAACACTTGTCACACTAAGAGGACACTGATGGGGAGATGTGATTCAGTTTAGTTTTTGCAGCTGATGCATCACCTTGTACTGATTAAGTCTGTAGCATATGTTAATAGAACATCAGTGAACCTGAGACATTGCCATTTACCAGAAGTCTAGACTGACTTCTGAGAATGAGGAAAGTGATTCTCTGCACGGTGTGTAAATATTTTAGGATTCTGGTCATCTTTGTTGCATTTGGCTAACATTTTAAAGGCAATTACACCAAAACCTATTAAGGACTTTAATAAGTTTGGCAGAAAACAACTCTTCACACTTCATAAAGCAAATGGAAAGCATAGGAACTGGGAAAAAATAACATCAAAACACATTTAACATTGGACTGAATGAAGGAGAATAATAGTATAAGCAACTCCATACACATAAACTACATAAATCAAATGGTATAATAATAACTCTTGATTTAAAACAGTCAACTCAACCCGAAGAGCTGCTTCTTAGTTTAGTTCAGCACTTACTACAATGTTAATAGCTTATTCATCCATCAGAGCGTCAGACATTCTATCTTTGCACTCAAAACAAGTGTCTCATGTTATTATCAAGGGGTTGGAAATATGTCATAAGTAACTGAGAGGGAGTAAGGCATGCAGCAGCCATGCTTCAAACATTCTCTGAAGTGTGAATGAAATTCATGACTAATTCAAATGCCATTTCCCGAGTTGTGCCAGTTCTGAGGTTGGGTGATCAAATGCAAATTGCCAATCTCTGTAAGAACATGGATTGTAAATGTTAAAACTCAAACAAAAAATCAGACATATGCTCTCATAGTCTGCTGATGAGATTGATTTCTGACAGTCAGAATTCACTTAGATATTCCCATCAGGATTATTAAAATTCATTGTACTCTAAACTTTCTAAATCTTCTTAACCCAAACCATTTCAGTCTCAATATGTAAATTATACTGTCCCAAAAGTAAATTAAAAAGACGAACAAAAACAATGTTTCCTGATAAACACACTGGATGAAAGAGATCTTTAAGAACACCACAAATGGGAGGTGATTATCAATCCCCGTAGGAAACAAAACATACTCTCTGAATCTTCTGTTTTTATTCTTCAGTTTTCTACAATAGATTTTAAGCTGCATATCAGCGGTGATGCTTCATTGCAAGGGTTGTTCTCAGAATAGAGAAAGTGTCTGTTTTGATGCTAGTCATCATTCTCGTTGTCCTCAACATCACTTTTGATTTGATATTTTCTTGCCCTTGGCTCAGGCACTCACTTGGCTGGTTCTTGCAGCAGAAGTAACAAGCTGTACTAGAGTCTGATGGACTCGCAGGCAGAGGTGATATTGCATGCAGATGTCTTGTTTTGCTTTATTAAATGTTAATACAGTTTTTACATTCCTCTCTCTCTTTTTTTTTATTCCTGCTGTGCCAGATTTGTTTTGCTGTTTCGAAATTAATTCAAAGACAAGCGGAAATATCCCTCTGCATGGTGACTATAGCTCACAAGCGAAATAATTATCACTCTGACTTCTTATTATAAGTTCTTGAAAGTTGATTAGAAGAGATTAGTTGATGTGCCTTGCTATTTGATGGGCTCTCAAATCAAGTGAATTTTACTTGCATAACCTAATATCACAAGTTACAAATATGTCACATAAATTTAAGTATCACATGCAAAAAAAAAAAAAAAAAAAACTCTCTGCCTGGTGTATTCAAAAGCACTCATCTTCATAGGGTACTCACTATAGTCTGTATTATATATTATATACTGGGAGGTTTTTTTTTCTTACATATGCACAATTCTAACAGCTGTGTCAAGATTTTGTGCAAGGATGCTTACAAAGCAATGAACTGCCCCCACTTTCTTTCCTTTTCATATTGAATCTGGGGTTCCACGGGGCTCTTGTAGTGCTTGGCTTTCCCCCATGACCTCTGACCCCTCATGGGTGCTTCTCACAGCTGTTTCCTCCCAGTAGCACTTGTCCATATCCAGACTTCTTGGTGCAGCAGTTGTGCTGTTTTGTAACCATACCCTTACTTAAGTGAGCTCACGCTGTTTAATATTTTCTACACCTATTATTCTATGACAGATTATTTATTTATTTGTGGATTTGCATATGATCAGAAAATGCACCAAAAAGCAAAACAACAACAACAACAACGAAATCCCCAAGACAGTGTGTTTTTTTTTTCTGTTTTCCAATTTCTTTCCACCATGTGATGTAACTTTTGCTTGGTACATGATATGTATAGTAACTTCCCAGTAGTGCTGTTTACACAATAGCTGGTGGTCCTCACTCATCAATGAGTGGGCAAAATTAGATATGGGAGCCAGTCAATTTGAGCAAAACCGTAATTGACAAGGAATAACACCAATTGATTGTGTTAGGATGCGACTCTATGGATTCTATTGGTCACGCTTTTGGACCAACCCTTATTTGCTAAGCCAATTAAAAAGAGCCAAAGTTGATTGCTGACGTCTCTGGCCAATTAAAAACGTGGGTTTGCTAATGGGCGGGCCTCCGTATAGAGGGGTGGGGTGTTCGAGGTCATTCAGTCCCTCTCTGATTCACTCTATCGGCGTGTGTTTGAGGGGACGGGTAGTTGGAGTAAGGAGTCGCCGGGTGGTAGTGCATTACGACCGTTTTTTTTGGGAAAGAGACGCCGCTGAAAATTGCACCACAGACTGAAGGAACGGCCCCCGGTGACGACTTCTGTGAAATTGTTCAACGCAGCGACTGCGCCACACGCTCAACCAACAAACGCAGCCAGGCTATCAAATGCTAGCCTGCTAGCATCCCTGAAAACTGACGGGATCAAGGTGTTGATAGCTAGCCTCCCAGCTAATTATCCATCAGCTAGCATCCTCCTGCCGTAGCATCATTAGCTCGCTTCTCCTCCTCGCGCACGTCGAGACTTCACCATCGCTCGTGGCGGTGCCTTTCAGGTCGCGAGCACCAAATCCCACCTTCAGACAAAAACACACGATTCCTCCTGACTGGCTGCTGCTGGAGACAGCGTCTGCGTTGCATTAGTTGACACCATCACACCCATCTCCCCAACCCCTTCACCTCTGCCCCTCTTCCTCCACCCGAAACACTGGAAATCCACAAGCGGCCGGAGAGCGGCGAAGGGCCGGCGAAGCTGGGGGTGGTAACGCTACCGGACTCGCAGGGAGTCATAACGGCTACAGACAAGCACAGCCGTGGGGATCTACCGACAAGTATGGACGGGCTGGCCGTGGAAGTTCGCGGCTCGAATGGGGCCTTCTATAAGGTAACCTGGTTACAGTCGTAGTTTGTAGTTGTCCCAGTTCAAAGTTTTGTTTCTTGAAAAACTGTTGGGGTTTGTTCTTCTGAGCACAGCCCTAGCCAACCGTTACTTGGCTAATGTTAGCTTCGGTCCAGTCCTGACGAACAGGGATGGTTTTCTGTTCCACTAGGGTTGGCCATTGTGGGGTGGGCAGCTAGCTGTAGCTAGCACTCAAGCTAGGTACACTTGTCATCACCATGTATGGCCTATATTTGTTCATTTTCAGCAGATGTGAATACGTTTGAAGGCTATACCGTTGGGAACAGATTCCCACAGCTTTGTAATGGCATTCAGTATTTTTCACAGCGTCCCATTTTGTTATGAAATGTGCTATAAATTCATTTAAAACAGGAGCGAGCTGCTAATCAGACAGCTGTTGTGCACTTACTGCGTACAAGTGTGATGTGATGCTACATGAAAGCTCACACACTTCCTAAGTGTTTTGTGGCCCAACCCACGTTATTGCTGCACCTTAATCTCATGTTTATTTCCTTGACAAGGAAGAACTACAGTGGTTTCTGTTTCTATTCTGCCTGATTTTCAGAAGAAACCATACTTTCCTCTCTAGACACATGACTTGAAGTCATTGTTGCTGCTGTGTCACAGCTTGTTTTAGACAACACTAAAATGGCAACTGGATGGCTTTACACTTAATTCTGCACTCTGATTTTATTAACAGAGCTTACATGTCACTGTTCTTAGTCAGTCACACAGCCCCAGGTCTTGGTCATTACTGCAGATTCTGACACACAGATTTCTTAAGATTTCAGCTGAAACTGAGGGGTGACCTGACCCTATAACATACCATAATTGTTTGGCAAATAACTCTTTCATCTCCTTCCATCTTTCAGGGCTCAACTTTGAGGGCATTTCTTAGTTTTATTTCTCTGCTGAAACACGTTTATTTGTCCATGTGCTCTGTCTTTTCTATCTTCAACCTTTCAGCCGGTCAGACAACCACATGGTGGTTTAGTGATGACCCTATATTTACTCTCCTCATGCCGCTTCACCTGTTGTTCTGTTTTACAGGGTGACAGTTTGGCTCTGACGTGAATGAACACTTTCCACTAAACTCTGTTATCTCACAGCTCTTATTTTGTGCATGACATGGACACACAACTGTGTTAGTGGCATCCCAAATGTCACTTTCCAGTTTGTATTTTATCCTTGACAGGAGAGAATGGGGCAAAAGCTTTACTGCTTTTTATCCCACTTTGTGATTGGCGCATGCTGTGAAATGATTTTACATTTTAAATTCACCTCGTTCACCTTGTTGCCACTGTAAGTCAGTCAGTTTTTCCTGTTCAACTACGAATCAGGAGCATATTTGTGAACCTGTTAGGGGAATACAGCACCTGTCAGGAAAATGGCACTTTGTCATATTTATAGTCTGTCTTTTTGCAGCAGCAAGCACATACTAGGAAAGCTGATAAAAGCCTAAATAAGGATTCAAACTGTTGTGTATTCTGTTAATTATGACGCCATTGCCACACTCATTTTGCTTCAGCTGAATGTTGAACATCGATACAGACCTCTTTTGCCCATGTTTTTAATATTTTACTTTAAGTCAGCTCATCAGATACATCTGAACACTTTGGATACTTGTGTAGAAAAGCTGTGTTATCCGTCTTTATCTGTTTGCGTAAGTGGACAGTCGCAAACACGGTACCTTTAGTCCAAAAGATCTCGGTTACTACATGGACCCGCATGCGGTTGCTGGCAAAAGGATGACGTGTCGTGAAGCTGCCCATGACCCTCTTCTGCTCCCATCTTTCCACCAGTCGTGTCATGCTAGAAGGAGGGCTTGCCTGCCCTTTGACCTGGTATTGCCCAGTGGAAGCAATACTTACCCTTACAGAATATGCACATGCAGCTGTCTCCTAATGTGACCTCTGGAAAATGGAGGATGAGCACTTTTTCTACTCAGACCTGTGTTCATTGCTGACTTCTTTTCCAGAATCAAGTCAGGTCAAATGCTGGGACCCAGCAATGTGAGTGGCCAACTGTCCCCTGCTACTTGTGTTCATGTAGATACAGAGCATGTTTTGACTATTAACCAGGAATAGAAGGAGAGAAGAAAAGAGAGAATTGCCTAAAGGGTGTAGAAATCTTACTGTATCTACACACACATTGACCCAGATCCTGGCCCAAACTTTAGCCAGCTCTTCCAGTGCAAAGGCAGCACCTTCTTAGCAGGTGAATCCACACCGCAACCTCCACCCCCCTCCCAAGCATGCTCGCAGCTGAAGATACTGACTGATCCCTGTGTCCCATATACGGTAGTGTCACACTGAGAGACATGTCACACCCACCAGTTTCCTCCTGTCTCGTCTTTGCTTAGCACTGGGGGTGTTGGTTAAAGTTTACGGCATGCTGATTTGTGGATGGACAAGTAACATGTTCAAGACCATCTTTCTCATAACAGCCCTCTTTGGGCTATCGCATAATCTGTCCATATAGGCTCGAGTGATTGAGTGCCTGCCCTCCCTGTACATGTGCCCTCATGAACATTCCTCGTGTAAAACTATTGTTTTCCGATGTACACACAAAAAGCGGGCTCGTGCATTTTAATTCTGTTTGGGTATCTGTATGTGTGTCTGTATGTGTGTCTGTGTGTGTGTGTGTGAGAAAGAGAGATTTCCAGGCTGTCTGTGCTGTCAGGAGGAGTCAGTGTTCCTCGTCACTTTATCCGGCACACAATTCACAGCCAGAGAATTGTGTCAGCGATGTGATGTCTTGGCTTCCAAAAAAGCCCTAGATGCTCTTTTTTCAGCAACAGTCACAGTATTGGTCTAGCATGGCTTACAAGCCAGCTGTCTGTGTTGTTTACATGCAAAATCAAACACTCCCAGCCCCGTCCCTATCTTTCTGTTGTGCATTCATGGGAATAAAATTTGTTCTCTCTCCTTGTCTTTTAGGGTTATATCAAAGATGTCCACGAAGACTCACTCACAATTGTATTTGAAAACAAGTAAGTTTTTTGGCTACAGACTGCCTTATGATAACTAGTCCTTACATGGGGAAAACGAAGCTTGAACTGTAGTAATTGAGAATTACGATGGCTGGCCCAGGATTGCGCTTTACCCGGGCATTTAAAATTGTCCTCTTCAGCACCTGTGCTTGGCATGCAGCTGTCCATACACGTCTCTAGCAGTTTTTTTACCTCTTGCTGTAACCCCTCCTGGCCCTGCTATCCTGGTGGCATGCTTTCCTATACTCCTAGCCCCACCTACTGTCCTTTTCTGCCACCACCCCCACTCACTCATTCCTCTGCTCCCTCTTTATCTACTTGGCTCTGAGTGTAGATCAGGGTCCTCCTAAAAATAGTAATCCAAGGTATGCGAGGTGGGAGGGGTGGCAGCATGATGGCCTGTGTCATTTTTGGGATGGCTCCCCCCCGTCCCTCTGTCTCCTTTTACTTTCTCTGCGCACATGGAGGTGTTGGAGTAGCACATTGTATAAGATTGTGAATGAACGACACATGTTTCTGGTTGATAGTGACAGAAAAAAAGGCTCTCGGATTAAAGTTCTTTTAAAATCTAAGCTTCAAAACAGTCGTGAGAGGTTTAATGAGATATTAATACTGAATGAACATAAAAAGGAGCTGGTTTTTATTTTATGCGCCCCGGTGTAATAATCTCAAAGTTAACCTTTTGAAAATCATTGACTTTCATGACACTCTGTTGAGCTATTTTCAAGTTCTTATTTAATACAAAAAGGGACGTCGTACAGTTAACGTTACACTTACTGTCCAGACGCAGTTTCTTGAACTTCCTCATTAAACTTAATGAGCCATTTCACGTTTTATTTTCATTATGTTTGGTAATGTGGTGCACAGCAGTCAGTGGGGTAATATACACATATGGCTCTACAATCCCAGTGTAACATGAGTGAAAAAATACCTCGAGCTAGACTTCTTAAACGTACACAGCAGTGTTTAATTTTGTTTCGTGCGATCGTTGAGTGTTTGTGATTTGCCTCTTTCTCATCTAGCTGGCAGCCAGAGAGACAGTTGCCCTTCAGCGACGTGCGGTTGCCTCCTCCGGCCGACTACCACAAGGAAATTGGTGAAGGAGAGGAGGTGGAGGTGAGGCCTGCCACGTCGAATCTATCTGACTCAGCTCATACACCTGAAATTTCACTAACCCCCACGTCTCAGGGCCTCGGTGTCTTTACACTTCATCAGACAGATTATTATTGGCTAGTACTGACTTTCAACTGTCATTTCCTTGGATGTCCATGCAGCCTCGACGATATGGGGAAAAAAATCTAAAAGAAAACTATCTCTACATTGATGCTTTTTAAACAACAAATCTTTATTTTCCTGTGTTTTGGGCTGCAGATTAGAGCAGAATATTATTATAGCATATTGACTCTTAATAAGGAAGTTGAATAGAGCGAATGCATTTTGTTCCGAGTGTACCTACACAAGCTGTACACTCTTTATTTTGCAGCGTCTCTTACTGTCATTGGAATATTAAGCCACACACAGTTAGTTACACACCATGCATCCTGTTTGCTTTGCTAAATGCTAGACACTAGATCGGTAGGATTGCATTTATTACGGGGCATAGCCATTTGCTTACTTAATATGGAGCCAAGAGCATCTTCACTGTAGCTGCATCTTGCTTTCCACTACAGTCGGAGGCACAGTTAATGGGCGTAATAGTTTTTTGTGTGTGTGTGTCTGATTCAGCTGTTATTCAGGATATGTCTCTATTTAGGTTTACTCCAGGGCCAACGAACAGGAGCCGTGCGGCTGGTGGCTGGCGCGGGTCAGAATGATGAAGGGAGAGGTAAGTGATTGCTTTAAAAAAACATCTTTTTAAGAGGTTAAATTGAACAAAATACAAACTTTATTTCCTGTTCATTCAGAACACAGCTGAAGAGTAAAAAAAACATGTTTGAGTTTTCAACCCCCCTGTCCTCGTCTGCCTGTCAGCATTAATTCAAACACCATAGTCGCACATCCCTAAATTACAAAGAACAACGGGAGGCCGCTTTGTTGTCTTTTTGTGTGCGAAAACACATTTTCAACCACGCAGTTGTTTACTTAATCCGGCCTAATTTGCCTAATCTTCACAGTGGCTTGAATATGTTGAAAATGCAGTGAGGAAATTTGAATTGTTTCTGAATCTTCGTGCCTGAGGCGTAAAAGTCTTGGAGTTATTTAGTTGAAAAGGATGATACTTTGTGATAAGAGTTAGCGAGGATAACTCTCTGAGTGTCGGTGTTTAATTATCAGTAATAGAGGCTAAGCAGTCGTCTTCCACTTTACCTCAGCACTCTGTTGTATTGCCAGTAACTGTTTATTGAGCTTTACTGCTGTATGTAGAGTGAATACAGACGTGTAATAAGATAAGTCCTGCTGGGTAATGAGGTCAAAGAGTCAGTATGCCCTGAATGGGTCTGACATTGTACCTTCAAATCACCTTTCCCCCTGCACCCTGTGCTTCTTCTTCACGCTGACTTGTTGTGTCAAAGTGGATCTGCACCACTCTAACAGGCGCGGGTGGCGTTATTTAAATTTTCAGATAATTTCAACCAGCAGCTGACTCTAAATCATCAGCGTGAGCCGCAGGTTGAATAGTGGGTCAGTGGGATATGGAAAGGACAGCTTTGCAGTGCTACTGTGCCAAGGGACTCGCTGCTGGTGTAGTGCTGTTATTTGGAGCAGTCTGATAAGAGCCTGCAGGAATGTCTAGCATTGACTGATGGCTTTAATTCGGTCCTTTGAGCGTGGAGTGTGCAGTGTTCATCTCGCTGGTGCACTCACTCATGGTGGTTCTTTGTCTACATTTGAAAAAATAAATAAAAATCTTTCTCTGCATCTTAGTCTGGCACACCTTCTTGATTTCCTCTCACATTTTCTGTGAAATTGAAGGAGAGCAGTGTAGCTTTGTAAACCAAACAAATGAAACTATAGACTATACAGTTTGGTTTTGAGGTTTTTCAACTTGAGAGATGCCAATACGTTTATACAGTCACAGGAGATTTAGAATTTTTATATGGGTGAGATGCAGAAGTTCAGCCCTGTATATAACTTTTTCTCTGATATTTCTAGCTACAGCATTAAAAATCGGTATCTTTTCTGCTGTTTTCAGTTTTACGTGATTGAATATGCGGCTTGCGACGCCACGTACAACGAGATCGTCACATCGGAGCGCATCAGGCCCCTCAACCCCAACAGCCCTTCCTCTCGAAACTCCTTCCACAAGGTCCCCATCCCCATCCCAGAAGACCTGAGGGACATGTGAGTCTTGCATTGTTACGCTACACACAATAAATATTTCTTTACTCGATATAAATTAGTATTGGCACGCAGCATCTTTCTTTTAATTTCAAGTTCTCACATCACAAGTTGTCTCAGCGAGCAGGATTGTTAGAACGCTCCAGTGCTGCCGAATGAATAACGAGGTTGACTCTCCTGTGGATTGTTTTCTTATCGACAGCTGTGCAAATGACAACATTCACAAAGACTTCAGGAAAGCTATCGGAGCCAACTGCATCTTCTACAGTGCCCAAACACACGAACTCATTGTTCTGGTTAGTACTCTGAGTACACACTTCAGCCTGGTGTCTCTTCATGAACAAGTTAATGGCCCAACACAAAGGAGCTGTAGTCACTCTCGCACAAATATATAAAACTACATGTTAGGGATTTTCTGCACAGGTGTATAGATGTGAATCCAGATCTCGCCACATATTTGGTGTCCTCCCCCCAAGCGTTCTTTGGTTGTTGTTTTTAAGACAAAACAAATACAGTGACAACTCTCCAAATTGAAGATTCCAATGACTTGCTCATTATTCACAAACACTGACTAAACAAGTGATGATAATCTAAATCTGATCATTGTGTTTCGATGTGATTTTTGAAGTCATTCCCTAATCCCTTTTTATTATCTTCACAGTCTACAAATGAAACCACAGTAAAGCGTGCAACTCTTCTGAGTGACATGCATTTCCGCAGCATCCGTACCAAGCTAATGCTTATGTCCCGTAATGAAGAAGCCACCAAACATCTGGAGGTAAACCTACTCCTCTCATATGTGGACACTCTGTCAAACACGCTGAGGTCGTCTGTGATCATTTCACCCAGCTGTCAATTTGAGCTTAGCTGACACACTTGTACACAAAGCATCTTATGTGTTTTCCCCTCCCAGACAAGTAAGCAGTTAGCATCAGCATACCAGGAAGAGGTGAGAGTCAGGGAGGACCTGATGGGCCTCGCCATCGGCTCCCATGGTGCCAACATCCAACAAGCAAGGAAGGTGCCTGGTGTTACAGCTATCGAGTTGGAGGAGGAAAGCTGCACGTTCAGGATTTATGGAGAGGTATGTAACTAAATGTTGTTGTATTTAATGGGTAGTTCTTGTTTCAATATGCGGTTAGATACTGTGCTGTATTATATTCTAACGTTTGTGTTGCAGACGCCAGAGGCAGTGAAACAGGCTAGAGAGTATCTTGAGTTTAAAGAAGACTACTTTCAGGTACCCAGGAACCTTGTAGGTGAGTGAGCAACACAGCATTCCTAAGAGAGCTCATTTTGCCGGTGACAACATGCCACTTCGCCACCGTTGCCTATCCCTCATAACTACGCACATGCTCCCTTATTATGACATTCTTTCACCCTTCTTTCCCACCCACCCCCTCAACCTCATGCAGGCAAAGTCATCGGCAAGAACGGCAAAGTCATCCAGGAGATTGTAGACAAGTCGGGCGTGGTCCGCGTCAGGATCGAGGGAGACAACGACAAAAAGCTTCCCCGGGAGGAGGTAGGCAGGCAGGGGGCAGGCAGGGACGACACTGCCGGCGGCAAAGAGGTGAATGGACCGATCGGCTGGGCTCCCAGTCCCCGAAATAACCCCCCTCCCCTCCCCAAAGCTACTTAACTGTAGCCGAGGTTCCCATGTGCTGTCTGTCTGCCTTGAATCTGTTCCGTTCTGCTGCTTTGTCTTTCTTGTTTTGTCACTAGCACTTTTTCATCGCTTTCCACACACACACACACACACACACACACACTCACACACACACAACCCACTGCTCAGCATACGCCAGTTATATTGGGTGTGTGGGCACTTGGCTGTCCTTTTCTCTGATGGGGTGGTGTGTTTCTGTTCAGTGTGCTTCATGTAATTTTTAAGCTTACAATTATTTCAGAAGTAGTCTTTAATTCAGCACTTTTTTAAAATTTGGTGTGAGGTGTTGCTAAGTCGATAATATCACTCTGATGATTATCTGCTTCTCCCCCCCAAAAAAATAACAACACTCAACTTTCATTTCCCTCTTTTTGTGCGTGCGCTTTATCAGGGCATGGTTCCCTTCGTGTTTGTCGGAACTAAGGAGAACATCAGCAACGCTCAAGCCCTGTTGGAATACCATGTGTCCTATCTCCAGGTTGGTCTTGTGTTTTCACCAATAGATGGCAGCACTGACCTTTTCTATCTGTTTCTGTCACTCAAGAAACTTCTCAGCAGAGAACCGTATGTTGCAGCTATGTTGAAGCCATAAATGTGAGCACTGAGTAGCAGAAGAAATACATTTCTGAGAAGCACCGTTCCTTTATGTAATTAGTAGAACAGAGGCGGGATGCTTTTGGATGATGGAGTGGGCGTATGTGCAGGGTCGTTTCATATTGGTCACCTGTCTCCCGCCTGCTCAACACCACATGAGGAAAGCTGCTGAGAGCACCTCATTTTGTCCTTACCTCATGTGCTTTTATAAATAGCCCCCTCTCTCTGGGATGGGGGTGAAGGGTACGCTGGAGTATAGATTACCAGCTATCTGGACCCTCAGCTTTCTAAAATAACATCAGACCTCCCCTCCCTACAACCCCTCCTGCCTTACTTCCTTCACACATCTCCTGAGGTTCAGCTGTCATTGGTGGAGACAGCTGTCACACTGCGAAGTGAGACCCCCTCTTCCAAATCACCCACCGTTAAACCGCCATAGAAACTGCTGTCAGTGCACGGCTGTCACTAGACACCGTTGCCCATTCCCCTCAACTATAAGGATGGCTCGTGAAAAGAGTGAAATTGGGATGCTCTCGAATGATAATAGCTGTTTTTTTAAACAGATGTGTTTTATCATCAAGCATGACAAAGTTTATATTTGTTGTCACATAGTTTTGCCAGCAAAATTCTATGAACCAACTGATAATCTATCTTAATGCATTTGAGACTGTAAGCACCTGAGAACAGACTATAAAGCTCTTTCAGCTGCCCCACAGTGCGTTATCTTTGTCCAAAGAGATTAAAAAGTGACAGACAGTTTCCATTTAAACAACGCGAAACCACATCTACACACCTGTTGTGTTCTAACAGCGAGACAACTCTGGCTGTTCCTCATCTTAAATTCAGCAGGGGTTTGTTCTGAAAGATAGCAGCAGAGTAATAGGTGTTGTGACAGATGCAGCTGCTTATCCTAACCTTGACCACTGCGAATAATGCTTAACCCAGGTAGCCAATCACAGTGGATCTGTTCAAAATTGGTAGGTGTTTCAGGAGCCATGAGGTGGGCGCTAAGGCGAAATGCTCCTGGTCTTTGAAACACTTAACTTTACACATTACTGCCACTTAGTGGTGGAGTGATAGGCTCTATAATAAGAACAAAAGCAGCCCAGACCCACAGGAGTTTTACGACTACAACAGTTTCTGGGTGACCAAAAAAAATGGCTGTCATTAAATAACTGAAGTTGATCGCATTCACCCAAATTGAAAGTCAGAAAACAACTTCTTATTTCGTAAAAAGTATTGTAATATTCACTTTGTCATGTTTTAATTGGGTTTATTAATACTTTTTGCTTTACAACACATTTACTTAAATGAGATTTGTTCATTTGTGCTGTTTCCAAAAACACATACATTTAATGACAAGTGGACATCATGGTGTAGGTCAGAGTAAAGATTTTGATCACACATTTCAGTGAGCCATGTTCTGAAGAGCAGCCTCTAATGTGCACACCACATATCCACAATTGTTTCCTCACCCTGTAGGAGGTGGAGCAGCTGCGCCTCGAGCGTCTCCAGATTGACGAGCAGCTCCGTCAGATCGGGGTTGGGTATCGCGCTCCCCCAAGCCGAACTGGGGGCCCCGGGGTTGACCGGGAGAAAGGCTACCTGACAGACGAAAGCAGCAACTCGCTCCACACTTCTCGTACCTACGGGGGCCGCGGCAGAGGACGCAGGGCCTCCAACAGCCAGTACTCTGGATATGGTGAGAGTGAAGGCACTGTAATGTTACTTTGTCTTGTTTGTAATTAAATATTACATTTTTTAACATCATTTGTCTCTTCTTGATGCAGGCACAAACTCTGAACTGTCCAACGCTTCCGAGTCGGAGGATGTCAACGAGCGAGACCAGAGGCCCCGCGGCATAGGCAGCGATGAGAGGGGCTCCCGACGAGGCGGCAGGGGCCGAGGCACCAACTCGGGCAGAGGACGTGGAGGGCCGGCATCCAAGCCTTCCAACTCCATCAGCTCAGGTATTTATTTTTATAAGTAGTCACTGGAGTAGTGCGTAGTGTCATACATAAGGCTTGTGCACATTGGAGAGTGTGGCAGCTGAATTATGACGTGTTGTGATGCCGAGGAAAAATCTTATCACGATGTACAGTATATATAATTTATTGAATTAGAGTTCTGACGAGGTGAAATGACGTTTCAGATGCACTGTAGCTGTGTCTGCATATGACAAACCCATTTAGCACCATGTCAGGCCGACCCGAGCCCTGAGTTTTTGTACATTTCGTCCACAAGGCTCTCATGAATGAAGCTCCCATTCTCCACAAACTCCTTGCTGATGGGCTCTTCCTTTTTCACTGCATTTTCTGATGGTCTCGCCCACCACAGTAACCACCATTACTTCTGCTAACACTGTTGCTGTGCCAATGTCCAATGGAGATATCTGTTAGCTATCATTTTGACCAGTTCAAACTGAAATGCTCATACCTCTGTCGTCGAAAATGATGAGTGTTATGAAGGCTGAGCAAGTGGAGTTGCAACATAATTTTATTGTGACACCTCCAGTGCTGAGGGACCCAGACAGTAACCCGTACTCCCTGCTGGAGGGTGAGGGCGAGCTGGCTGACGCAGACCTCAGCGAAGGCATGGGAGACCGCCGCAGACGGTCCAGACGCCGCCGCAACGACCAGGAGCCGAGCGTGATGGATGCTGCCGGAGAGTCAGACAGCCAGGCGGGCCCCAGTGAGAACGGACTGGGTGAGAGCGCCGGCGTTCTGTTCTCATCTGTGCTTTATGAATTGTCGCCATTGTTCGTGGCCAATGTTAATCTCTGAAATTAAAGCCAAAGAAACTGTGACAATATCGGAGACGTTAATCCATATTTTACAATTCGACTGTCAGATGAAGAAGCCCGACCTCAGCGCCGCAACCGAAGCCGCCGCCGCCGTAACCGTGGCAACCGCCCAGAGGGAGGTTCAACCAGCCGTGACAGACAGCCAGCTGAAAGTGGTGAGTCGGATGTATTTTACTAGTTTAAAATTTGTTTTAAAAAATACTCTTTTTGGAATCAATGCAGCCTCCAGTATTTGCTGTAGCTAACAGATTTGAATGTTTGCAGTGACTGTTGCTGACTACATATCCCGTGCTGAGTCCCAGAGCAGACAGAACCTGCCCCAGAAGGAAAACCACACTGGCCCTGAACCCAAGGTACAGGCAGGAATTCCCACCCTGATGTAGTTTTTGTTTAAATCGGTCAGATAATTGGATGATAACGATTTTCACCCCACTGTTTGCACCGACAGGAGAACGGCACCAGTGCCAAGAAGGATGAGCGAACGCCCACCCAGCGTTCCCCCAGCAAGAGCATGACCTCGGCCAGCGAGACCCTGACCCTGGTCAACGGGGTCTCATAAAGAGACGACCCCGCCCCTCGCGAACCCAAGTCTAGAGCAAGACTCCATGGCAAACTCTGTCCCTGCTTGCATTAACTTAAACCTTAAACAGATGAGTGAAAAGTACCTGACAAAATACCTGAATTCATACTATGAGAGTGAAAAAGTACAAAAAAACGACAAACGCATCTACTTAAAAACACACGTTAACGGTGTATGCTATCCTATCTATCAGTACTTAGTGCTTATTTAAAAAAAAAAAACAAAAAAACAACTAGCTTGCCAAAAAAGAGCTGGTGGATATGACTTGATTTTTAAAAATACTGAAACACGAGAAACAGGACGAGACTTTTTTTGTTGTTTTCGAAATGGTTGTCTTTATTTGTGTCTTCTTTTTTTTTTTTTTTTTTGTTAATGTTTATTTTGTTCATTGTTTATCACTGGTTTGGACTTGGCGGTCGCTCTCTCAACCAAAACAGACGCGTCTCTTAACAGTGTTAAAAGTACAGACAAGAGAGATGTAAGCTGTAGGGAGCGGCGTATGAGCAGACAGTCCAATAGCTTATGTGACGCGATGTTCGCACACTGAACCTGGGAGTGAAGACAGAAAGACAGACAGACAGACAGATTGGAATATTGATAGACATTGTGCCTTGAATTTGAAAAAAAAAAAAAAAAAAACAAATAAAAAAAAAAACACTTGAGTTTTTCCATTAAGTTTGTTTTTGTTTCCTGAGAGGAAGAAAAGAGCGAGAGAGAGAAAGAGAGAGAGAGGCGTTCTTCCAGGTTGTTTCTGTTTTTTTTCTTCGTTTCTTTTTTTTCGGTTTGAAGGAGAGAACAGACCTGTGAGGGAGTGACGAGTGAAAGGAGGATACAGAAACCAGGAGGGAGTGGCTGGCCAAACGTGAGGAGAAAAAAAAAACAAAACACAAGTCTGGTGCCAAACACGAAATTCAAGGCGCTTGTCCTCATTCCGCGTAGAATGGACGGCGTTGGGGTCAGTGCGTGCGTGTATGTGCGTGCTCGCGCGTATGTGTGTGTTTGTGTGTGCACGGTTGAGATATTTGGCAACCACAAAACAAAAACTGGGAGGGGGCGACGTGACAAAACACAACGTAGCCCTGGGCGGGTTCACACAGTGAGGCATCTCTATTTATCAACTGGCCTGAGGGGCGTCGCGTGACGAGGCGCTTCCTCCTCTCGCCTGCGTTCGGTCTTTCGAGGGTCCGGGGCGGACGGGCCGAGACCAGACGGACGGCAGACTTGAACTATAGATTTAGACTTAAAAGAGAACTATACCGTGCCTCTTTCTCGGTGTCGGAGGGGGCGGCGGTGCTAGCTTCCAGCCACACTAGTGTCTTGATTAAACCACTGCAGCGCGCAGCTCCGGATGCACACGAGGGCGACCACCTTTTCTGGGACGGGTGCTGCTAGTGGGGTGGGTTTGGGGAGGGAGGGGGCCTGGAGACTGCAGACTGTGGGATTGGGACAGCTTCAAATGACATGAGAGCCACATGACACACAGGTACACACACGAGGCATACACACCAGGTGCGTGGAGGCACGTGGTCGCCCGCGTGGCGCAGAAACAAAAAAAACAGAACTAACAAAAAAACAAAAGTAGAGGACCGAAAAAAAAAAAAAAAAAGGAAGCGAGGTGTCTTGTCTTGTACCTGGCAGTTTGGGTAGTAGGCATATGGAGTAAGAGACGGGACTCGAAACCTCAGTGGCTCTCTGCTCATGTTGTTACTGTTGTCTTGGTTACCGCTCTCAAGTTTTTTTTGTTGCTATTTCCACATCTTAGAAAATATGAAATAAAAAATTGAAGTGAAATCAACCTCTTCTGTGGAGACGAACTTTGATTTCTCTTGTCTTGTGAGTTTGCAGTCTATTTTTCTAACTTGCATGGCATTTAGTTACCGAGTAGTAGGTGGTGCCTGTCCTGTGCATGAGGAAAGGGTGTTTATTAATCTGACTTACAAAGCCATTGTTTCATTCACTGCTGCTAATGTACACGTTGAATGTCCAACTAACGTAGAAACTCTACCTTGAAGAGAGGAAAAAAAACTTTTATTTGTGATTGAAACAACATTTCTCCCCCATCCCTTCCCCTCTCTCTCCACTCATCTGCCCGGAACGTCCCGCTTTCTATCGGTGGACACAGAGTCAGGAAAGGGACCCCATTCCTTTTTGCTCACAAGTTTCACAAAGTATTCAATTACAAAAGGGCAACATTGTGCATGACAAGCAAGCGTCCACATGACCAAAGGTTTTGAGAGACAGATGAATGGGAGTGTGGTTGGAATCGAGATGACCCAGATGCTGCTGTTATACATTTTTCTGCTCACCTGTATGTTGTGTTTTTAGAGCGCGAACGGGCACTTCGAGTATTTGTACCTCGGTTCAGTTGCATGTGTGTGAGTGGAGGACGAAGCCCTATCTGGTATGTTTGCGTTTACCTTTATACCTCATTGTGTGAGTACTGTATCCCCCTTATGTATCTGTATCCCCCTCCCGTCCTGTTGAAAGGCTGCTTTGTATGCGTGCGTGTTTGTGTGTGTCTGGTTGTACAGTCGACTCCTCACTCTGTCAGATTTTGTCTCTGGTTTTCTCACTCATGTTCTGATGGCAATAAAGGACTTTTCATTGTTTGGTATACACCTTTTCGCAACCGTTTTTTTCTTTTTCAATCTGACGTAACGGGCAAAAGGGAAAAAAAACTAGATCAGAATGGAAAAACATGGAAGCTACAGCTGTCACAGGAGTGTTAAATTTGTCTCCAGCTATTTTAAGCAATCCTAATTTTGAATTTAAAGACGCATCAGTGAAGTTCAGCTATTATTGCCATTTTTAGCATTTGGTAGTTCGTTACGTCATTCTCCTTTTGATGCAATTCTAGATTCGAATAAGCCTTTGCTGGATTGGTTTCTCTGCTGTAATGAGCCTGTTTTAAAGTCACTGATGCGAACAGGGGTCTGTATTTTCTGACGTAATTCTGCGTTGGGTATCGGTTGAAGGTACCTCACACAGCAGGAGTGACTCAGCGGGGTGTTTACAGGATGATTGTTGCTGTTTGTGGTGGCCCATAGAGATGGTGAATCATCGCCCATTTGGTGAAGGTATCAGGTTTTAGGAGATCTTAATCGTGAGCACAGATAACTACACGTGCATAGTGGCTATCAAAATAGTCCCAACCCCTTCACTTCATGCTATATTTACTGCATTTAATCTTAAAACAGAGGGAAAAATATGACATAATGTATTGCATAAGCCATCACTCTTATGTCTAAACAAAGATGTACAAGGGAGCATGTCATACAAATCTATGAGAAAGCTATTAAATTAGAGCAATTAGGAGGATGATGCTAGAATATAATAGCAGAGAGTCAAGTTTTTGATAATATGGAAAACAAAAAAGCTACTTTTAAAATAGTGTTTTATGGTCTAGTGAGAACAAACCTGTGCTTCATGTGTTTGTTTGAAAGCGGCACACAGCACGGCGCATCGTATGAAGCATGGCGGCGGCAGCATCATGCTGTAGGAATGCCTCTAGTAAGGCCAGCGAAGGCACAGGTCACATAAATTTGACTTCATTTATGGAATTCTGGTGGATAACCTGATGCAGCCTGCAATAAACCTGACACCTAGGCCCAACATTATTTTCTTTTATTTTACTGTGGTAAGACAAGACTTCCAACAGGGAGGAAGAACTTCGTTGTGATATGAATGTTCTGGAATCTGGAAAGTGCCATATAAGTTAATCACTTACCATTCTATGACCCAGAAACATTTGTGTGGCCTACCTCGGCACTGCTCGTACTCATTTCTGGTAGACACTGCCAACAAGACAACAGCTGAAACCCCCACATGGAACCACCCAAAACCACTCTTTGGGAAACCTGTGGGTAATGTCACAGAGGGTTCAATACACAGCTTAAAATTACAATAAAGTGCAATGTTTTAGGAAACTTATAGTAAACAACATCATCAATATACATTAACTAATGCTGCTTACGTAAAAGTTTCAATAAGTTGAAATTATTGACCTTTCACATGAATATGCACAACAAAACATGCATGCAATTGTGTTTAAAACATACTAGATGTGAACTTAGAACTCCAAAATATTGGATGTTGCTGTGGCTGTACTTCTATCAGTCTGTGTCTCCCCCTACTGGAGATTTAGTGTCATGAATCAAATTCTCCAGATAGTTAATGTCTTAAAAAACCCACACACACACACACACACACACACACACACACACACAATTAAAAGTATTTTAACAAAAGTAAAGCACTGAAAAAAAGAAAACTACACACATGTTCTTGATTTCAGGAATTATTATTATTTATTTATTTAGTTATTTTGGCGCTGGAGTAGAAGTATCACAGAATTCTGCATTGCTGTCAGGCGAGTTCAATGTTTAAAGCCAAACACGACAGCATTTTGTGCCACAGGGAAAATTATGTTTAGTTAGGCACTGCAACGTTGGACAATTAATTTCAGAATATTCCATAAATATGTATTGTTGCATTTATGTAGAGCTCAATAATGTGCCACAAATTTGACATGCATATTTAATTATTATTGTACATATTTGTCATTTTATATTTTGTATACATTAAATGAACATAAATAATATCACCATTAACTGTAAAACTTTTAGAAATATTCATCTGGCTGCACATCAAGTAACCATAAATCCAAGTGTTCAAATAGATTCTATAAAAAAATAAAATAAAATTCTCATGCACCTTTAATGACTTTATGATCTTACTCTTATAGTTCCTATCCTTTTAATACGTCATTATGCTTTTCAAACAAATGTCGTCAAAGTAGGTTAATATTTTAAATCCAGCTGCCTCCTTGAAACAATCAAACTTGTTAACACAAGCTCCATGAAGTTAACACAGATTTCAGATTTGCTGGTAAATGAGGCTCTCTGAATGCATTAGTAGGAGCATGATTCACTTCATTTTCCTGTCATCTTGAATCATGACTTCTGGGATAATGGCTGTAACATTGGACTATTGTAATCTGACTAAAATAGCCACATGACGTATGAGGGAAAGCTTTGAAAAATGCAGGCTCACAAAGGAGACATAAAGTATAAGGTTAGATCCTTCAAGGGAGACTGTTGTTCACTGTTGCTAGTTCACCTTTGTTCCTTTGCTGCTGATATAAATTACTCATTACAACGGGATGATGTGTTATGTCTGCCATTTATAAAAGACAGTTGTTGAGCTCCTCTTTGCTGGAGGGCTTGTGTTGTGCTGCCTTTCTTTAAAATATTCCAAAGACGTCCTATTGGATTCATAATTTTCCCTTTTTTCGTTTTGAGATAATGCTCTTCTTCTTCCAGGTTTCTGCAGACTGGAAGTCATCTTGTCAGACAGTGTTATAGTATATCCACAGGTGTCCATCAAGCATCTATAAATATCATCTCTTCAACACCTTAACTAATCCTGCAGCTTCATATCATCACACTCCCACCTATTCACTCTAGTAGCCTTGGTGAGGTTCACGCCAAACTTGCTGGACCCCATCTGAGCTGAACTATTTTTTTGTGCATGATGTACACAGAGGTTGACATCATACAATATTCTTTAGAATTTCTGAGCTGTCAACAAAACTCTCCTTTCCACTGATGACCCCTGATTGTCAGATCACAGGCTTTGCCACTTGTGTTTCAGCGATACCAAGTGTATTGACTTCAGTTACATCGAGTTTCTATTTTGTGGTCTGTATTTTTAACCTCGTGTCTCTAAAGTCTTTTTGATTGTTCATAAGAAGAAATACTCCACTTTTCAACTTAGAAATAATTAAGAATTGATACCATTTTTAAATATTTTGACATTTACGTGATATTGGACAGGGGTGTACTCACTAATATGTGCTTCAGATTACACAAAAATAGGTATGAAATAAACGAAAACAAAATTTTTTGGGATTTATTAATACAGTATTTAGAGAAAATTCTGATAACACAAATATTTGCTTTGCTAAGGCATTGTAACCAAACTGTTACACAAATAACAGAAAATAAATTCCATGTATGACACGTTTATCAAAGCAAGTGAAGGTAACCGAACAAAACGTTAACTTTATACTCTGTTTTATTTTTTTTGAATAGCTTGCTGCTGAAGGATCATCTGAAAATAAAGTTAATAAAGTTAACAAGACTACTTTCACAGTGTAAAACTGTGCTAAAATGTAAGTATCAGGCAACATAATCTGTGCATGCATGTGGGTATCGTATGTCCGATTCCCAATTTACTCCCTGAACATGCAATAAACAGAAACTTAAGTTGATTTACCACGAGTGACAGCAAACTTTTTACAAAACACACACACCAGCCATACGAGAAAAGCGGAAATCCTTTACAGGACAACATGTACGTCATACTACCGTCACCCAATCACAGCGCGTTGCTTTTGACAGAGAAGCCCATCTACCAATCAGAACCCGCCGTGTGCGCATCCCGCCAGCCGATATCCACCGTAGTCCATCTTTGTTGCATCCGCTTGGCTGTTGCGCGGTTCACAAATAGTGAGTATGCTGACTTTTGTGTTTTTTTTCTGGATTTGTAATGACATTACTTCTACCGGTCAGCAGGCGTAAAGGCACACGCTGTCAATGGTTGAACCGAATTGTATTTGTTAGCATATGCAGTCGGGAGCTAACGTTAGCGTGCTAATAGCAACCCGGCTAGCAGCTCGATGGCACGGAAGTGCGAAACACGGAAACTTCAGCTCTTGTAAAGTCCGCTGTTTTCAAGTCGTATTGATTTTGGACTAACGCTAATAGCACCTTAAAACACTACTTGCAACAAAGGCAGTCAGCTCAGTTTGTGACAGCTGTAACTATCGTGTTCCTGTGGTGGCCCTCTCCAGTTGCCTCGATTACAAGCTTTCTATTTCCTGTAAATGACGTCGTCGCCTCGCTATGTGCCCTCCGACTGGTGTGTGTGCGTTACTACATGCTGGGCTCTCTTGTCTCTGTGTTTACTCCTTGTAGAGAACTACAGTGCAGCAACAATGGTGAAGATTTTCATTGGAAACCTGTCGCAGCACACTGAGAAGGATGAAATTGAAGCTCTGTTCACTCAGTATGGCACAGTGACAGAGTGTGCAAAGTACAAGAACTATGCGTTTGTGCACATGGAGGATCGCAAGTCTGCCACCAAAGCCATCCGGGAGCTCCATCTCTATAAGCTGAATGGCAGGCCCATAAATGTGGAGCCCAGCAGAGGGAAGAACCAGGGCCCTGTGAAGCTACACATAGCCAATGTGGAAAAGGGCTTCGACAAGGAGCTCCGGGAGCTCTTCGAGGAGTATGGCACAGTCGCAGAGTGCTCCATAGTGAAGAATTTTGCCTTTGTGCACATGTCCAATTCTGATGAAGCCATGGATGCTATACAGGGTCTGGATAACACAGAGTTTCAAGGTAAGTATCTGGAGGTGGGAAGTGTTTTGGGGGTTTCTATACTAGGGCTGCACGGTATTGGGGAAAACTGACATTGCGATATTTAGTTTGTCTGCAGCATATAAGTAAGTACAGGAAGTTCCACCAGACGACTTGAACAATTATTTGAAAACAGTTACCCACTCTAGAATGATTGGGGTGATTTTCATAGGGTAGTGCATTAGGAAATAGCTTTTTTGCTTTGGATGCTTTTCAGATCTGGCTTTGCCCTCACCATACAGATCTTGCTGATTTAAATAGTCAAACAAATTAGTCACGTTGCCTTGTGTAGTGGCAGCAATTCCATGGCACTTCCGACAGACTGCCTGTTTTCGGTCAATATCGTCCTTTCCGTAGCCGTAATAATTCAATACAACTTACTTGCGCTTCTTTTGCAACCGGATCTTTCTCTTCGGTGCTTCTGTCCTGTTCCACGCTCGTTTTGCTGTGCACAACCGGAGCCATCACGTCAACAAAATCTGTCTCTTGTGAAAAAAGCAGCTGCAGCATTTCTGCGTTTGAATGAATTTGCCTAACTTCACATTGTGACTTTTGCGCATGCACACATCGCAATGTCGATTCTGAAGCAGTATATTGTGCAGCCCTATTCTTTGCTATTAGTATTTAGGCTTTTAGATTTGAGGGACAATGTTTTTCTCTCTCTCAGGAAAGCGCATACACGTTCAAATATCAAAAAGCAGACCCAGAGGGGCACCTGAGGAGGAGGAGTATCCACCTCCACCTGGCAGAGGAGGCTATTTTCCTCCTCGTTATCCAGGGGAGAGGCCAGAGCCTCCCTACAGAGGCCGCATGTCCGCTTACCCTCCTCCTCCGCCGCCGCCCCCTCCCCCGAGACGAGCAGCTTATCCCGACCATGCCTTTCCCGAGCGAGATGCCTATGGGGTGGTCGATTTCTATGAGAAATACCGAGCTCGTCCTTACAGCGCCACGGGCTACGAGGACAGGCGCGCCAGTGCCATCCCCCCTCCTCCGCCTCCTCCCTCGGCAATGGTTAGAGAGCGTCTCCAAATGGGGTCACTTGACCCGTATGATCGCCGCCCTCTCCCTACTCCGCCGGCGTACATGGTCAGAGACCGAAGCCCCATCAGAAGAGCCCCCCCTCCGCCTGCTCCAGCTGGTAACGGGTACTCCTATGAGCGGTCTCGTCTCTCACCAATGTCCAGGGCTCCGATGTACGCAGCTTCCCGCCCCAGGGAATCTTATGGGGACAACAGAGTGCCGCCTCCGCCGCCACCACCTCGCTATACAGGCTATTAGGTGCCAAGAGTGTAAAACAAGGTGAGAACAGAGAGTGGATGTTGAAACAAATAAACATGATTGAAAAAATAAGAAATCAAATTAAGTGTGTGTCGGAATAAATCAGAGCTGAATCCGTAAGTTGAGATGGGCTCACGCTTTAAATAATTACCATCAGTCAGAGCTCCTGCAGAGCTACTTCAGCCAACAGATCAATATACACCAAGTAAACGTTGCTGCTTGAAACCTAAAATAATGCTGCTTTAACATCAAAAATCAGTCTTGCGCGAATCCTGAGTAAAACACGCTCCTTGACATGTGTGGTGTGCTCTCTTTCCAGGTTTAGAATATGACAAGATCGTCGTTGTCTGCTGATGCACGTGGCGCTATACACCCCCCACATCTATGGCGGATTGCGTTGCGTTCGCCTGAGACTTACTGGAAGATACTCTATTGCGGACAGCCCCGTACTTTTAAAAAAAAAAACATACGATTCCATGTTTACAGTTCCTCTGAGCTGTTCATGCCTTTTCTGTTCCTCTGCTTGTTTTACTGTTCAAATCCTGTTTTGCAGATTAGGTGCTTAGATTATATCAGTGTGACGGAGTACTGTTTATGGCCAAAAACTATACACTCTTGCTTTGCAATTTGTCTGACATGGCCTCTGGGAAACTGTGACGTATTTTCATAACAAGGGAATTACTTTAAATAAAAATATATTTAGCCTTTGTAAACAAATTATTGTATCCAGACTAAGATTGCTGGTTAAGTTCAAAATGCTCACCAATCAGTGTAGAAGTGCTTTAATGGAATACTTGGTGTGGGAGGTTGTACAACAACCTTCTAGATTTGCGACACATGTTAGCATGACATCAAAAGTTCCACTGTGGTTTTGTTCTTTTTACACTTTGTGTTACTTTTTCTTGCGAAAGTAGAATCTCTAGTACCGTAATGTATGATTTTACTTACTTTACAAGTTGCTTTTTATTTGAAAAAGGATTTTTAATAAACAAATGAAACCAAAGCTGTGACATTATTCCTCGCTGCGTTGGCTTTTTTTAGCGTAACGACTGAGCAGACGGTCACTATTCAGCAGACCAGATCTATTTAGGCGTTTTACTCTTCACACGTTTTCCATTTTTCACACCCTTGATAGTTGATAGTTTGACACATGGTAGGTGTTATTTTCCCAGCTGGAAAATATGAGCCTCCAGTTCTTTGTGAAGCTACTCTCGATCTGCATTCTGGTGAAAACTGTTTGTGTGTTTCAGCTGCGATGTGAAGAAAATTCTGGATATTGGTGCTCCAACAACGATTGAGACTAATATCTGTTGCCAGTTTAAATCGCAGTTAACCAAAAGTAGATTTTTGTTCTGGCTTCTCCTTTGATACCCTCCGAGTCAGTCCAGCTGCCCACAGACCAAGAAATGACCAAAAGAAGCGGCCCAATACACTTAATGCAACTTTCGTTTTCTGTATTGTTCTTAAACCGCGTCCATCAGCTACTCCGTGTTACCGACGGCCCACAGGGAGCTGCATCTTCCCCCGATAATCCTCCTCCACTTTGTGTCGAGTTGTTTTCCTAGAAGCAGATCAATAATTCATTGAGCTTTACGGGCGAACCATGTTTCGAAAAGTTTGCAGTAACCTCAGAGTTCACGCTACATATTAGTCACACTTGTCATTACTGTGTTGTAATATTTCTAACTTGTGTTTATATATATATGTACCACAAATTGCATGCAGTTTTGGTGTTCTTAGTATTTGTGCTCTTTGTAGGTTGTTAGACTATGCAGGAGATGCCTGCTCATGGTAAGTCATCCTTGGAAGACGTCCAGCATCCTGAAGAAAAGAGGTAAATACTGTTTAAACCATACTTTTAACAACTTTTTCTGAATAATGTGTGCGCTTAGATTCATACTTTACTCTTAAAAATTGTTCTGTAAATGTGGAAGCAATAAAAAAACTTGTTTACTATTTATTCATTGAATTCTCTCCCATATTGCATATTTTCTAAATGCTGCGTACGCACAACCTTATTGAGAAATTTCCTGTGACATTTTTATTGTCTTAATCAAAATGACCAAGGCATAACAGTAATAAAAAGATAATTGCTTGATTTTATTGTTATTACAGGCATTGTTAACCCTGTGTTCTTGTTTACAGGCTTGTCTTTCTTCTTGCACCGAGCCGTGAAGTGAATTCGAAAGAGATCACGAGTTGGATAGGATGCCATCAAGCCGTCCTGTCGTCGAAGGTAAAGCAGCACGAGTTCACTAAATCAAAAGTGTAGTGTTTAGTCATTACCGGGTCGAGGTAAATGTGGAAAAAAGAAAACAAGCTAAGGAACTATATTTGTGTTTCTAGACTATTGCCCATGTTCTGTTTTGTTCAGTATAGAATTCAGAACTTCTCAAAATATGCTGATCCTGCAGCCAAATTGTTAACCACTGTAAACGTTTATTGGTGATGTGGTTGTCAGAAGTTATTGCTTTCACTTTCTACTCATGCATCAAGCTCATTTTCCGTTCCTATTCATAAAAGAGATTTTAAAAAAATATATGGGGCGACAAAAACGTGAAACTATTTATTCAGTATGTCATAAGGAAAATACTTCTCGTTGTTCACCACTGCAGCTGTGGCTCTCAGACTTCTAATAATTTGGCAGCATAACTCCGATTTTTTAAAAAGCGTATTAAACATCTAGCCGTTTGTAATCAGATGTCATGTGATCTGAACAAACCAGAAGTCTGCACATTTAAATCTGGGAAGCTGAAGTTTTCAAATTGTGTAGGGGCCCTTGTACGTGTCTATTCTGTGAAGTTCATGAGAGACTTGTCACACTTGAAAGTCTTGATTTGATGTGTGTGCTGTTTCTTACAGGAAGTCTATTTGCTCCTCCAGTGACGGTTTGCTCTGTCGGTCGATGAGCCTGAGGACCTGCAGCTGATCCCATCAAAATAATGGGTTTTTTTCTGGAGGAACAAAAAACTGATCAGGTCACATTTAGGACTGATTCTTATTCACTCAAGACATGTGAGACTTGACAGAGACTCTGGATGAAGTTGAGGCATTTAATGTGATGCACAGCTCACATGACTTGACACGTCTGTGACCTTTTGCACAACAATGTTTGCACTTTGAGTTTCTCTGGTATCTGTATATTTATATTCTGCTCATGAGGATTAGAATAGAAATGTATATTATTTATATTTCTCATATATCCACAGTGTTCTTACCTCAACAGTGCAATATAATTCCTAACTGTATATACTTCCTACTGGCTCCTTTTGTAAATATATTTATACATTCTTATTGGTCTTTTTATACTTGTATTTTGCACCACTGGGGTTGATAACAATAAAAGCATTCTATTCTATTCTGTTAGTCTTTATGAGCATTCAAGTGTTGGTAGATGTTTCTTCAATGGAATCACTGTTAATCCTTAGCAAATAAACACTTTGCATTTGGAATTGATGTCTCAGATACCCTGTTTTATTTGACGAATCTTACTGTGTCTTTTTAAAAGTTACCATTCACATTCTACGCTGTATTAGAAAACGCTGAGGTTTTTCTGTGAGGGTAAAAGTTGAGAAATTTTTGGACAACTGTAAGTTTCTTTCAGTATACTGGTGCGGAATATAGGAACAGACAGACTGGTTTCTACTGAATTCAACCATATCAGTCACCTGTTTTCTCACAAGATTTGTCCGTTGTTCAGCGTCGACTAATGTACTGCTGCCCCAAGCTGACTGAAAGTCGACCACTGTATAGCCAGCTTTTAAGAATATGACGTCTGTGTTTACTTCAGGGGTTGCAGCAGGCCAGAGCCTATCTGAGCAGACACCCGGATGACACAGAACACATCCAGGATTGGTAGTAATCAATGCAGTAGAGAAAGCACAACAAGACGAAGCACTCTGTGAATTACTCTGCGTTAAAATGAAAGTTAGTAGATTCAATTTTCCCGGGAAGTGAGAAGTTGTCAGTTCCTCTGTTCCTTTTGTTTTTTTTTTTTTTTAAGGCTTTGTTTGCTGACCAAAGCTATTTTGCTTTAATGACGATTCCTTTAAGCACACACCCTTGTTGCTGCACTTTTGGGAAATCATGCGTAAGAAGGAGGGCTAGATGAGTCTAGCCATGATAGTGATCACATTCCACACCTTTATGGGACATCTGATTGTTCATCTGCAAACATTGTTTTATGTGCAGATCTCTTAAAAGATTGGACTTTGTTCTAAGATTGTTTACACATAGCACCAGCTTCTTGACGTGATCTAAACAGGTTGCCTAACCAGTTTGCTGCTTATTACCTGGGGAAAAAAAGTGCGATTACTACCTAAATCCAATTTTAAGGTGATGCATTGTCTCACTTTTGCATCTGAATGTGATTTTTGTCAGATATTGTCATGCTTAATGAAGGATCTGATAAAAGAAAATCAAGAATAATGTGAATATGTGTATTTTATTTTGATTGCAAGCTACATTACACCCCTACAAGTTTATATTTCAGAAGAAAATAGACCTCTTTTTCTCTATGATTTAAAGTGGTGAGCAGTTACACTCAGTCAGTATAGTATAAAATAATGTTAAACTGAATTATACATGATGAACACTTGTTAGTTCATAGTACTTTACTCCGTCCACCAGTGGGTGAAACTGCTGTTTTGCAGGAATTTGCTGCGCTGAGGCCAAGTTTGTTTCAGTTTGTAACCTGAGTACAAGATTAATGGTTACTGTTATCTCAAGTACATCAAGAAAAACCTGTTTCCACAGCATTGGATTGTAGTCCAACACAGCTTTGAGGTCAATAAACAAGTGCGATAAATTACAGTTTCCTTAAATGCTTGTCAGATCAACAATATTTAACAACAACGTGCACAAAAATATGGTACAGAAAAACAGTTTAATGCTCAAAATATAGCTTCATGACATTTGCACTTTAAGTGTAATTACAGTAAGATCACAGCTTTTTAATCTGGAGATGAGATAGGTGCAAAATAATACTATGATTTCACAGTACAAAGAGGGGTGTCATCCAAACCTGGTTGAATTACAATGTAACGACAGCAATTTGCTTGGCCTTTAAGCTCAGTAAGAAAGTTAAAAAAAAGTCTTAAAATAGATCATCTGAGATGGTTCATCATGAATAGCACATGACAGTCTCATCAGTCTCCAGCGGGCCGACAGCTCTGAGTTCAAGTGGGTAACTGGTCATCACACGAGAGCCCGTGTCCGCCACAGGTGTCCCACTGGGCTCCCACATGCACATCTCCCTGGACGGAGGCACGGTCATCACCTCAAACTCCACCTCGAAGTTTGCTTTGGCCTCACCAGACTCCCTGGTGATCACCATCTCGTACTCCCCGAACCGGATCAGAGCCTTGTCTGGGAGATCCATCCTCTCCAAGTACCCCAGCGCTGAACTGTTCACCCGCAGCTGTCCCCTCTGGCTCAGATTCTGGATGGTGAACAGCATGTCCGGGCTCTGGGGCGTGCGGTAGGCGTGGAGGGACAGCTGTTTACGGGACACCCGGGGGTCGACCAGGGAGTAGGTGCAGGACTGGGCGTCACGGCCCAGCCTGAAGGGGTCGTCGGCTGAGTGTCTTCTCCTGTTGCCAACGGGGAGTAAACCATACAGTGGCCTACAACTCTGCTGAGGGTGGTAAACTTTGATCAGGAGGCAAGGCAGGAGATCCTCCTCTGTCTCCATTGTCTGAGAGACGTTCATGATGAAGCGCTTGAACAAATGAGTTGACTTTGGATGACAAAAGGCTGCAGGGAGATAAGGCAAACAAACCAGATGAAGTATATCAATTTGACAGAAGCATGCTTTCAAGGAATACATTCCTGTTGTTAGATGTTTGTGTCTTACCTGAAAGTTTTCTAGTAGATTTTCTTCCTCTGTACACTGGAAAAGAAACAAATGCATAAACTCTGATAAAGAAGAACTAACTGATCGCGCTGCTGCTTCTGTCTGTAAAAACAGGAAGACTCCTCCTTCCAGGCTCTGCAGCCTGTTGCCTTCTGCCGGCAGCGGTTTCGTCACACTCTCACGAGGTGCAATTGCGCTGCTTTCAAGTGCAAATCCGGAAATATCACCATAACATATATTCTGTCGTAGTGAATAAAGTGGACAAATATGTTTTCACGCTATTTGGTAAAAACAGGGTGAGCATTAAAGAGCAATGAACTTCCACCGGGACTGTTTTCACTCTATTATTCGTCGAACAGGGTCACGTGCTATTTTTCCAATCAAATGTTTGGTGCATGGATCGCTGTGGTGTAACTTACAATTTGAAGATAGGGCAGTGAACGCAGCATTACATCACTGGACATTCCCCGGTGATGCAACCTGAAAGAGAAAGGAAGCAGAGTTTCACATTTGAAACTCAAGTGTTTACAACCATAACGGGAAGCTACAAGTGTGGAAGTAAACCGTTACACATTAACACGACAGTAAACTTTACTGTCTTCACCAAACATAAGCAGCCTCATATAAAAACGTATATTTTTCAAAAAAAAAAAAAAGCCCCATTTGCACAGACTGGTATTTGTGTAACAATGTGTAATGTCTTTTTTTTATATATGTATATTTTATTTTTGCCCATTTTTAACATTTTATTGTTCTCGCTAAAGCAACTTGTAACTTTGGTTTTAAAAGGTGTGGCATAATTAAAGTCCTAACTGTTGTTTTTATAGATGAGGACAGAAGAAACTTGCACCCCTTGAGTTCCTTGTTCCGGAATCAAGCAGTGATGTTATTGGTTAATAAATACCAGATGCGGAAAGAATCATTACCAAATATGGACAAGGATGACAACTACAGGAAGGGGGTTATTGGAGGCAGTTCCGACTAAACATAATGCAATCAGAAGTTACTTTTTTTTTGGCAAATGGTGAATCTGAAGTCATGTCTAAATTTTGCTGATGCAACTCAACACTAATTTCTTTGAGCAGCATTGCAGAGAAAATAAAATAAAAATAATAGTAATCCTAATGACAAAGTAACGTTTTACTTTTTACATTTGCGGATTAAAAAAGATGGAAAAATTGATAACCTCAGTCTGACTTTCCCTAAAATTAACTTACAGCAATGTAAAAATGTTTATTTGACAAAACACAAATGACTTACATTGGACTAACTTGAACAAATGGCATTAATGTTACTTGTTAAAGTGGATTATTGGAGGGAGTTTTCAGTTTTTATTATGCTTACATGCAGTTACATTTCCAGCAGTGGTATTACTGTAAGAATGATCTAATCACCTTAGCAAATGTGAAAGCATGAGAAACAGATAGTTGGGCTAAAATTGAAAACACAGTTATTATCCTCAGCTGATAGGTTGAGTCTCTACAGTCTTTTGTGATGTATGGCAGGAATGTCAGTGTTTAATTAACTATTTATTACAAGAAAATATTAATTAAAAAAAAAAGAAAACAAAGAGTGGTCTGCCAAAGCAATTTATTTGTGAATAGGTCTGTATAATTGTGATGCTGTAATATTTCATTTGGAAAGTCACAAAGCTTCATGGAGTTTTTATTTTTTCTTTCTTGAAGCTCATTAAAAAATGAAATTTAAAAAGGTACAACCAATGCATATGTGAAATAAAACAAAGAGAGAATCAAGAGGTTTTTTACTGGAACTACTCTTAAATAAATAGAGTCCCTGTGCTAATTTTTAACATTGCCAGACATACAAAACAGAGAGAAAAATACCATACAATAATAGATAACACTGGGTAGAAAACGTGTTAAATCATATTTTATGATTTTAAGTGGACATCAGCTGGGTGGAGCACTGCGGCCTCCCGGACGGCAGGTGGCGCTGTGGCTGTCATCCGGGACAAGCGTCAAGACGAGCAGCAAGGAAAGACCATTGATTTGTGTTGCAGTAAACGGAGACTCAACGGAAGTCGGTTTAAACCTCTTCAATTCTTTGTGGAGGACACCCGTACAAAAGGTAACCAAAATGCACATACCTTTGTATTATTATTACCAAATGCACTTCATTTTAAATTTTCTCCAAAATATTAGCTCACCTTGAAGTGTTCGTTCGCCGGTTCGCCGCTCTGCGTTTTTAAAATCTACGACGGCGCTTTGTCAGTTAGCTTTGTTAGCAAGCTAACTAGCTAACGGCTTTGCAGGAGAAAAAATAAAGACAAATAACGACCAGTAATTGCATTTAGTCTGAGCTTTTTGTCTACATTGTTGTGCTATGATAGCTGCACATGAGATCAAAACGCTTCTCTGTGAAGACTGTTTTAGTCGTATATGCAAAATACTTTAAATTAATGCTAGTCGACTAGCTAGGTGTCGGCCATTTCACAATGAATGAGCCGGCTAAATTCATCAGCAAAAATATTGGGGTGAAAAATGTATCAAGACACAATAGTCCATCTCCTCCATAGCAATAATCATTTGTTATTTTGTTGACCAGTTTTTATTAAAGGCCAGCAGAAAAATGTTAATTTTACATTTAACCACCGCACACTGACCAGTGAAACCCATTTATCCAAATTCAACACTAATCTTAATGTGAACACAACCGTGAGAATACTATTAAATGTACACACAGAAATTCATGAATTTTATTCATTTAACCTTTATGTAAACTCGTAATACATTTACAGTGTTGCTGAGTAAGAAAATAAGAAACTTTGATAACATTCAGAATAAAAATATTTGAAGACAATGTTAGTAATTAGAAGATTTAAGGTAAAAAAATAAAATAAAAATAAAAAATGGACCAAAACAAGAACAGCAGGAACTTAAAATAAGATGTAATAAAAAATCAAAATTGTTCTAAGGATAAAAAATGAAGCTTTAGATTGATATGCATGTTATTTCAGATTGCAAATGCATAGTCAGTGCACCTAATGCATTAAAGTGAAACTATCACCCATTCTTTGGAACAGATTTCTCATTGTATTGGTAATCGTTAATCTGATGGAGTGTTTCATTGCCCAGACCTGCTATCTACTGAGTGAATTTTAATTAGATTAAATTTAATTAAATTAAATTCAATATTGTTGTCTTTGAAGCAGATCTTTAACAATGGTGAAGATTTTTGTGGGAAATCTGCCCCGAGCGACAGACGAGGATGAAATCAAGGCGCTCTTTACCCAGTATGGCACAGTAACAGAATGTGCCATCATCAAAAACTATGCCTTTGTCCACATGGACGACCGCAAGGCCGCCACCAAAGCCATCAAGAGTCTCCACCTCTACAAACTCCACGGCACACCGATCAACGTGGAGGCCAGTCACGGGAAGAACCAGGGCTCAGTCAAGCTGCACGTGGCAAATGTAGAGAAGGGAGCTGACGACGAACTCCGTGCTCTCTTTGAGGAGTATGGCACAGTCACAGAGTGCGCCGTTGTTAAGAATTTCGCTTTTGTACACATGTCAAACTCTGACGAAGCCATGGATGCCATCAAGGGACTGGACAACACGGAATTTCAAAGTAAGAGGGTGCAGTTATTGGAAGTAGTAGTTGTGAAGTGTGAATTTTAAGCTTACCAGTTTCATCTGTGTTATCTTTCATTTTTCTGTTTTTTGAAATTTAGGCAAACGCATCCATGTTCAGATTTCCAAGAGCCGTCCCAGACACGACGAACGGGAAGAGTACCCTCCTCCTCCTCCTGACAGGGGTGGCTACTGGCCGCCACGCTACCCAGGAGAACGGCCTGAGCCTCCCCCACCCAGCTACATGAGGGGCCGCATCAGTCACATGCCCCCAGGTTACCCCGCTCCTCCTCTGCCACCCCCTCCCCCTAGACGAGCCGTTTATCCTGAGCGTCCCTATGAGGGCGAGAGGGAGCGATATGGCGTGGTAGATTACTATGAGAAGTACAGAGCCCGTCCGTACGGCATGGCCTCCTATGATGAACAGCGTCCTGGCGCCCCTCCTCCTCCCCCTCCCCCCTCAGCCGTCGTCCGAGACCGTCTTATGAACTCGTCGCTCGACCCGTATGAGCGTCGCCCCCTTCCTCCTCCTCCGTCCTCGTACTACCCCCGAGATCGCAGCCCCCTCAGGAGAGCGCCTGGTGCACCAATGCCCCCTGCTAGTAATGGCTACTCCTATGAGCGCTCCCAACTTTCTCCGGTTTCCCGGGTCCCTGCATACGGAGTTCCACGTGCAAGGGACCCCTACGCAGATCGGCCGCTTCCGCCCCCGCCTGCACGCTACGCTTATTAAGCGAGGCCTCGGCATGTGAAGGTGAGAATAGGTTTGAGGTAGAATGGTGTTTCTATCTTTCCCTCAAATTGGCCCTCGTCCCTGTAAAGGCAGAGGCAGAACATGCATTGCTCCGTACGCTCGAGGTCTAGTGGGGGTAAACGACTTTGAAAAAGCATGCGTACAAGGTTCTAAACCAAAACTAAAGTCGTTTGTAATGCACGTCGGTGCGATAAGTTGGACTTTGTAATAATAAACATTAGTTTTAAATGTGTGGCATCATCCGGCAAAAATGGAGAAGTCTCTGACCGAAGAGCGGATCTCGACTTAGAGAAGTCGTAAAAAAAACAAAGTCAACATGAAGATAATTAGGATGGAACAACGTGCTGTGTATCAACAACTGTCGGTAGTTCATTTGTGTCATTTGCTCTTTTTTCCAGGATGTTCGTCCGACTGCGTCGCCGCTCGCTGCCTCCTGATGCACGTGACACTATCCTCTTCCTGTCTGTGGCCGAGCGCGTTACGTTCCCCTGCGACGCTCACAGGAGGAACCGAATTGCCGACGTCCTCGTCTGTTTATGTTTTTATTACCTTGGGACAGCTTTTACACTCGTCTTTTTTTATTTCATTTTTTCCCCCTGGTTGTTTTAGTATGTAATTGTGCTGTAGAGTTTTATTGCTTGACGTCTGAGTTAGGCGTTTCTTTCTTTCTTTTCTTTCGTTTTTTACTTTTTCGTTTGAATAACGTTAATATGTGTGACCTTAGAAAGCTGAAATCATCAGCGGCATTTCTAGGCGATATCTGTGACTGTAGGTTTAACTGAGCTGAACTTAAGTGTTGGGTATTAAATCTAAGCTGCACGTTTGTTCCATCATTTAAAACTTTTCCATCGAAAAACCAAACCTCTTTGTGGCGTTGCTGTGAAACTTGTTAAAACGTAGGAGTTTGCATAATATAGGAAGTAACTGTTAACTGGGAAGGTACCGCAAAGCCTTTCACATGTCCACTGTTAAACTTTCATTTTTAGTCCGACGGATTTGGGCAGTAATGTGCTTCACGGATGTGATCAAACTGACGCCCAGCGCTAAAATACCTCATCAACCGTTTGAACTGATTCAAATACTTTTCTAGGAGCTTTCGAAAGCAGACGATCACCCGTTTGTTAGTGACGAAATAACCAATAACAAGCTTGTTCAAATCGTCATGACAGAAATCCCTGGTCTTGTCTGAAATGCAAAACCTTTAACGTCCATCAGCGAGCCTTCGAACTCGCCCCCTCTCAGTGCCATAATACCAACGTTTTCACATTAGGTCGGAAGTGACGAAAGGCGTAACACTCCAGCCTCACTCAAACAAAACACGATTTCATAGCTGAGACTAGTTTTACCTTGAATCTGGGGGGCAGATGACATCAAAGGCTGCTGGAGACCTTCGAAGTGAACAGGTAAGTCCAAGGGCTTTAAGGACTACTAGCAACTAATGCAGGCAGTATGTGTTCACACTTAGAGGTCAGTAGTTATTGTAAGAGTGGAAATAGACTGTTTATGTACAGATCAAGGAATGTTAGCTAGTAAAAAACCTATCCAGCTGTAAATCTGCTGCTCTTTAGTTACCAGTTTTTGCAGGGAATGTACCACTACATGTATAGCTGGCTTATTTTTTTAAGATGCTGCCAGTCATAGAATACCAGCAGCAGTGTTCAGATGCAGCTGAATTGGAAAACAAATGGTTGACTTTTGGGGAGTGAGAGGAGCATTAAGGATAGCTAGGTTTAGCTAAGCTGCAAATAGTATTGGGACTGAATGACTATGAAGGAACACATAATTCTACACTTGGACTTTTCTTTTTACAGCCCTTGTACACATGAAGTTAACAGAATAGACACATTATTTTACACAAAGATGGACACGAGAAACAGTACTTTGCATTGTATTGCCAGTTTTGGACCTGCATGAATAAAATATTAAAAACAATTGAAATTGACTCCCTGTTAAGTAATTTGACGCCATGTAAACTGTGTGGGGCTAGTTGTTTTCTAGGTTTGGTGCTAGGTGCTTTCTAGTTTATTCCCATTCTTAGAAAGTTATCGTTCATAATCGTAGTAATTTTGTTACACCTTCAAGTAGATCGACAGGGAGCACTCGCTTAACTATTTGCAGTTCTAATAAATAGTTGGACAAATATATGAGCTGAGTTTCATTCCCTAAATCAAAACTATACTTTCTAATACCTCTGAGAAACACTTCCTGGCTTAGAATGGATCTTAGAGAAGTGATGTGGCAGTGATGGTTGGTCCATGTGCAAATTAGGAAAGCCAGCAAGTGTGTGTTCTTTTTAGACAGAAATAAATGTGTCTCTTTATGAGCGTTAGCGAAGCAAATGAAACAAGTTAAAAATGAGAGTTTCTATTTTAATTCTCATTTTTTCCTCATGTTAGCACTCCCCCCCCCGGTGCTGATTATAATGTATTTCCAGGGCACCAAATGTTCCTCCTGTGCAGACAAAAAACACCCCTGGATATATTGTACGTACACATTCTCTACAAAACCTATTTGCAGCTGCACCAGGACGTGAATGAAATATATTGGTAAAAATGAAATGAGCACCTTTTTGAACGGTTTAGATCTGTTCCCATTTCTGTGCTTTCTTAAACGAACTTCCAGCCTTGTGTTACTCAACAGTTTTTTTTCTTTTGTTTGTGTTTGTGAAAGCCCGAATTCTGAAAATAGACAACGCCCGCATGAAAAACGGCAGTCTTTCATACCACCAGATTGACGTGTCTCGAACAGGAAGATTCCACAACAAAGGAGCACGTTTTGTTTGACACCATGAAAAGATTGCGGTTCCAGTTGTGGTTGTCATGAAACCAAGCAGTGGTGTCTTTTTTTTTTTTTAAGTGAAACATAATTCTGCTAATGTATAAAAATCTAACCTTATTTCTGCAGACAATCCTGTAGAAATGTACTCTTTATATATAAATACACTTTAAGCTTGAAAGATCTTTTTTAATATCAATGTCTTTATCCAGATTTCAGTGTTTTTGATGGAGCATCAGTGGGTGTAGCTTGTTTCACATTGCTTCATCTACAGGTACAACTGTAGGCCAGCAGGGGGACTATTGTCACGCTTGATTCACAAAGCCTGATTAGCAGGACCACATAACATCACCCAGCAGCTGATCAGATGATTCACATGAAGCTTACAGAGGTCTGATGTTGGGTTGTGTGGTTTAGTAAGAAAAGTAATGCTGAAGAAACAGGAACTAATCAGCTGATAATGAGATTAATCATCTTTTAGATATGCCAGTTATCAACAGTTTCAATCAGCTGCAAATGTATCTTGCATCTGTGGAGCTGAATGAAAATGAAATAGTCAGTGGGTTAGTCAAGAGTAAAACCTCGGACAGGTGAAGCGAACGACACCGATCATCTCATCCAAATGCAAGATTCTACTGGGAAACCTCACGTCCTGACATATCTGTGGTTGTTACTTTGACACCTGGCTGACCTTCTTGTAGCGCTCCCAGATGGCAGCAATCTTCTCCAGCGGGATCATGTACCTCGCAGCATGCTTGAGGAATGGCTCGAGGAGCACGACCAAGAGCCAGACGCATTGACTCGACCTCCAAAGTGCCCAGATACCAATTCAGTGTGATCTGTGGGAACAAGCCTGACTCACACAGGCCCCCACCCTGCAACCCACAGCAGCCGGTAAGTGGTTTAAATGTGGTAAATCTGTATACTTAAGAACTAGACACATGATGGGGAAATGCACACTTCTGTTGCATGACATCAATGCTGCCTCTGTACACAGTTGTGGTTTCATCAGATGTTGTTGATGCATCATAAAACAGAAGTGGCTCTAAGCTGTGTGAAGACGTGGGCGGATCAGACCCCTCGTGTAAAAGAGAAAACGAAACTCATATTATTGCTTGGTAAAAAGCATTCGTAATGAATTCTTTCCAAGAAATCAATCGGCCTTAGTCACGTCTGATTATGATGCAGAGATCCGTCTTTCTGTTTCTTGTTTCTTGTTTATTAGGATCCCCATTAGCACCAGCATAAGCATCGGCTATTCTTCCTGGGGTCCACACACATGCACACAATCTCATTTATACACACAACAACAACAAACGAAACAAAACATAACAACTCGTCTCGTTAACTTTATAAAAAAAAGGAAGAGAAACAGTCATTCAGTACACTAAACATTAAATCATATACAGAATTATAGATCCATCATTATTAATCTGGAACACATAATTCTTCATCGTAGACACATAATCAGAATGATCTTACACAACATCTTATCAGTCCAGTTCTTCAACCAACTGTATCCAAGAAAACAGGGCAAATTGCGTTCTATATTCTTTGCTATTATAAGCATTACATTTTATTTAGAAACACCATTTTACTGTTTACACCTTCTCAAAAACTTGCAAATATTGTTTCAACAAAATTTTGAAACGATCTCCAGTATCCTGCTACACTAAATACAGTGGTAGTGAATTCAACCTAACCATGGCTCTGTACATGACTGTTTTCTTCATTGCGCTTGTTCGTGCTTTAGGTAGAGTAAATCGTCTTTGTGTTACGAGTCGTGTTTGATAGTTATGATCAGCAACCTGAGAATAAAACCTTTCATGTAGTATCTTTGGAGATCGCGTCAACAGAATATTCCTGACAAAGTTTAATAGAACATAGATGGATCTCTGCCTGATAGTGAGCCAACCTAGACTGTCATGCATATCTGTTACATTCGTTCTGTAGGAACACTGTAAAGCACAACGCGCTGCTTTGTTTTGAGCTACTTGTAGTTTTTTTAACTCTTTCATTGCAGCACCAGACCAAATCACAAAACAATAATCCAGCTGTGACAGAACTAGGGCATTCAAAACCTGTTTGATGACATCAGATGGCATAACTTTTAATACTCTCCGTACAACTGACTTTCTGTGGCTGAAACTTCCTTTTCTCTGTTACCGACGGTGCTGTTTGTCACCACAGTGGAAAATAAGTGGGTCAGTGGTGCCTATGTTTGCCCATCATGGCGAGTACTGAGCTGCCACACTGTGTTTCCTGCAGATGACGCTCACTTTTCTAACATTACTGGTTCCAATCAAACTCTTTTTGTTCTTAGGCGCACAAAACAATCTTGATTTTAGAAGAAATGAAATAAAAATTTAACACCAAGCAAGACTTCCAGGCACATAGAAGTGATAAAACATCTTTATTTAGATTTTTATTTTTTTTTTTAACAAAGTTGAGGCAACTTCTTCCATAAATTGCACATTAACAGATAAAGTTGCAGTTCCACTTGTTTCCTGAGTCTATCTGGTGGCAGCATACACCACGTTTGGTTCCATCTCTCTCTCTGATGCAGGCCTGTGGTTTCTCCTCGTTGGTGGATGGAAACTGAGCGCTGCGTAGTTCATCTCATTGGAGCCCAGGTTCTGTTTTTGATGATCTTCATTAAGGGCTATGAGATAATTTCTCAATTAGTTCAGTAATTCGGTATCAAGTCTGTCCATGAACATGAATCCTCCTCTAGATTCTGTAGCTTATAAAATGTACCTGTTTGAAGTTTCCAGATTTGAACAAGCAGACCAATGATGACCATCACAAGAACAGCAGTTGAAGCAGCCAGGATCACACTAGTCAGCTTTGTTAGTCCTTCTACAAGAAGATTTAAATGGATTAAACTGACTCAATCTAAAAGCTTTTACAGCATCTGCTCAAGAATAAAGTGCTTTGGAGATTCCTACCTTTACACTCTCTGTCTGTGTCACCATCAGATCCATCGCTGCCTTTAATGACATACGAAAGTTATTTTTGTTTATCAGTTATGAAGCTGAACTTTAAGTCTCTTTAAAAAAAAAGGATGGACCAGAACAAAAAATCTTACCTTTAACATTCAAACGTATCACATCCATTCCTGTGTGTTGATGTAAGTAAAATCCACACAGATACAGCCCAGAGTCCGATACATCTTTGATTTTAAGAAAGACAAAAGAGATGTTGGAGCTCATTTCAAACGTTCCGCCCTGAAATCCCTCACAGAGTAGAACATCACCATCAGGCTCGTACATCAAAGAGATGCAGCTGATCTCGGTTGTGTTAACTATCCTGGACCAGAACGTGTGAGTTGGGATTCTGGAGATGTTCAGGGACAGCAGCGTGACTCCATCGCCAGATTGGACCTTCACTGTCCGAGACCCAGAACCCGGGACGAAGATCCAGCCTGAGAAAGAGAGTGAGTTATCAGGTGATAAACCAACACAAAGCTTGTAATAACATGTCAGTGTTAGTACTTACTGAGGCTGCAGAGAAGTAAAGCTGTTATTGAGGTGAAGCTCTTCATCGTGCACCTGATTGTCTCACTGCAGCTAACTCTCTTGTACAGGAGGGTGTATTGGAAAGAGGCGGGCTGACTTACCGCGTATCTCTCTTCCTTATAGCTGGCCACATAGATGACTTCCGCAGAAATGTTACAGCAAAGTCACAGCTTCTAAGAGTGATTCATGAAGCTTACAGCGCAGCATGCACTCTGCAATGAGGAATTCTTCAGCGTTTGGCATTTAAACATGTAATGTTTCACTAATAATCAATTATTTTATAACTAGAGAGCCCTCAGTAGAGAAACATAGTTGCCCAATGTATGCATGTTGACCTGATTCTGTGTTTTACTGTGCGCCTACATGAGGACAATGGGGACTGGTGAACAGTTTTGATGGGGGGTGAATATGAGTAACATCAGGCACAACTATTTACAGGAATACAAATGTTCTACCTTTGGAGGCTATTCTAATCATCTGATTTAACATTGTTACCAGAACTAAATTTCAAAACCATTCATCAAACTTTCATCAGTATTTGCAGGATCTGTACAAACTCTAAACACACAACAGAAATAATAATGAAAAAAACACTATTCAGGGCTCCAGACTAACCACTACGACCCACTTTCTCATTTTGTTGCACCTCCCACCTGGTCAAAGGCAAAACACATGACTTGCTGAACATTTTCTTATCAATAGACACCACAAACACCCCACATAGCAGGCTGTGGTAGAATGTGTTTGGTGGCTGTGGTGTGCTCAGACAGGTTGACTTTAAAAATAATAAACTAGGGCGTGCTCACATTAGATTTGTCCGAGGTTAAACCCAGTTACATGAATTCTACACGCTGTCTTTTCTATAAGCAGCCTCTTCTCCATTGACAGCATGGCCAGTGCATTACACCGTGACTACAGTAGCTGTCATCTAGTAGAAGAGGAGGGGAAAGACCGTGTGACGGCGCCAGAAAGCGCAGCTGTAAGAACGTCAAGACAAAATTAATTGGCTTACAGCAAAAGTGGACGGGTCAAGTATGCACCAAGTTGCACCCCATGAGAAAATCTGCTGTTGCCAATCAGAGCCTGAGCCAAGGTCACATGATCATGAAAAGTTTTCGAGCTACAAACACACTCATGTGGCCGGCGCCCCACATCCAGGAAGTGTAAAATTAGTAAACACGCAGTAAAGACTCACTTTAAATCTGTTAATAATACAAATATTGTTAACATGGCAAAAGAATATGAACATTATTATTAATTTTATTATTATTTTGTTATAATTAATTCAAATTTAATATTGTGTTTGAGAACTACTTTTAATCTGGTCATTAGTAGTGGGGTGGTGCCCCGTATTAACCAGCCGCCACTGCTGGAGGATGAACTTGCCTTGATTTTGCCTTAAAATGACACATAATCCCGTAGTCATGTAACACATATATTTTGCATGGAGGGGAAGTGTTTTGCTGTAATTTACGGCTAAGCACTTAGGATGTATGACCTTGACCTTTCATCCAAGGTCAAATGTCACATCACCAATATGGGTTCCTATCTGACTGTAATAAGAAACTATGTGTCTAACTTACACCTTTTCCAATTAAAAATTTGTGATGATTTCAGTGTGACCTTGACCTTTGCCTCAAGCTCATACGTTACATCACCAGTTTTTAGGCCTCAGATGTCTTCCTAAGTTGGTACACTAAACTTATGTCTTTTTTTTGCATTATTAGTCATTCAAAGCTGTTTTTGGGAAATGCGACCTTTGACCTCTGTAGCATCACTAATGCATGTATTGACCCCAAAATCTAATCACTCCGAGAAGAGACCATACCAAGGTCAGGTATGAAGTTTCAGGTTCAAACTCCTCCTGTAAAGCTCTACACTGTTAACAGACAAAAAACAATCTGACTGACACTAACTTAAAAAAAACACAACAAGCACTTATTAGCGTCTTCTGTGGCTGCTGAAGCATACATTGTGAAAGTTACACATGAGACAAAACAGCACGCAGCTGAATATCAGTCTTCCTGTGGTTAAGATTTCACCTGACTCACACGCTGAGGGCCTAAGCCGGGTAGCTGCTGCGTCTATTGTTGATGTATTTCATCTGAATGAGAAGCAAATTCAACCGTAGGCGTTCAAGTTTAAAAATGACGCTCACCACAAGACCAAACATTTACTGTGTCATCTGCATTTTTCTTTATCGGTACGGAGCTTTGATCTAACAGCAGACACACTTATCTCTTCCTGTCAACATGTGATGTGTCATCCACGCCTGCACTGCTGCAGACCGTCATCTATCTTTGTTTGTTCTTTGATTGACATCTAAAGTGAACAAAGTAGCTCAGAGTAGCTTCAAGCTGCTTCCTAAATCTAACATGTGGCAGCATAACTTGCATTTGGCTCCACTTCGAGACAGCTCATGTGCTTTCGATTCAACAGCGGGGAGGAAAACAGCCAGCCAGGATCACACCTTTCAATATATTCTTTAAGAAAAGTCTTTTTTTTTTTATAGCAATTCAACAAAATCTTTATTTCACTGATAGCAGATTTACAAGAAATTGCAATAAGCCACAATTACTGGGTCTCTGCTTACATAATGTCCGCAGAAAGTCGGATAAATCTGCTTGTTTGGTTTTGAGAAAAGCAGTTGAGATGTTTTAAATCCACTACAGGCTGAAGCAGGCTCAGAAAGCTTGAGTAAATGCAGTAGGGCTGTTGACCAGTGTGAACCAGAAGGTGTAAGTTGGAGAGGCGGCAAAGCTGGTGCACAAACAACCAGCAGAGAGACGAACAGATGATCAGAACCTAATCAGTGCTTTTATTTTAATTTAATAACAGTTTGCAATGCATATGGGGCTCTACAGCAGAAATGTAAAGGAAGAAATGGGCATATAATCATGGCCTTTAGTGTGCAAAATGTAGTGAGAAGCTGTGCAGAATCTTCACAAGTTTCTGAGGTTAACATGTCACCACTATAATCAGACTACACCACGCTAGAGACACAGCGCAGATCTTTTCATCTGCTCGACAATAAACCGCTTCTTCGCTGTTTCTTATCACGTTTTGCTCTCATAGATCTTTTTATTTCATGTTTTCAAACGGCCCTGTGCTGCTTCGTAAGAGTGTTTCATTCGCTTGAAACCTTTAACAATCTGAGCTCAACTGTATCCAGACCGGTGTTTTTAGTGGATCCTGCTCCATCAAACACCGATTTTAATGTTCTTCACTCAGATTATGATGCAAAACAATGAACAGTAACAAAAAGAAGCAATCGAAAGAAGAGTTTTGCACGTTTTGCATGAATTTCTTTAGCAAAGTCGGACTTTTTGCGGTATGACTCGACGAGCTGATCACTTCCAGTCTGATGGTGCAGCTCCAGGTGCCGAGTCTACCTGGTGGCTGAATAAATAACATCACAATCCGCTTCTCTCTCTTTTGCAGGCTTGTGGCGTCTTTCCGGTTTTGGAATAAACGTCACGGATGCGTAGTTCAGGTCGTCTGACTCCTTCCTCTGTGAACAAAAGCATTTTCACTCGTTTGTTTCAGATAGCTGAGAAAACAAAACACACGGGTTACGACTGAAATACAACAAATTTAAAATCCTTAAATACACTTCACCTCCATCTGTCGTGGTTCCTGCTCTTCGGCGTGAGCTGCGATAGAAATAAATTGTGTGATCAACTGACTATCATCCTTTATTAATACTGTTATATATGGTTTCTGCTAAAATGAAACTGGAAATTGAAAGAGGATGTGAAAAAATATTAAAGATAAATATACCTTTCAGAAGTTTTTTGATTTTAACAGCCAGGCAAACGGTGACTGTGGCGAGGAAAACAGTCAGAGCTCCCAGAATCACACTCATCAGCTTTGTTAATCCTTCAAGCACATCTAAAGGAAAGATTGTTGAATTAAATGTGATACGTCTGGTTGCTTTGGATAGGAAAATAATAACAAAATACAACAAAAGAAGCAAAAACTCTTACCTTGGACCTCTAAATTTGTTGCATCGACAACAACTGGATTTTTACTCAACATATATCCACAGAAATACAGCCCAGAGTCGGATAAATCCACGTGTTTGATGCTGAGAAACACTGTCGACATGTTGGAAGTCATCTCAAACTTTCCACGCTGGACTCCCTCACAGAGTCTATCGGGCTCAGACGCCTTGAACATCGAGGAGACGCAGCTGAACTTGGATCTTTTGACCGCTCTGTGCCAGATTATGTGTGTCGGAACGTTGGAAAAGTTGGAGCACAGCAGGGTGACGTTCTCGCCGGGTTGAGCCTCCACGTACCGGAACTCAGCCGCCAAGACGGAGATCCAACCTGAAACAAACACGATTATCCTTCAGCTGACAAAGCAACGTAACCCTAAACGGAGGGTTTTATATGAACTGAAGGAATAAATCAGAACTTACCGAGGCTGTGGAGAAGCAAAACCGTCGCCAAGGCAGAGTTCCTCATTGTGCAGGTGGTTGTCTCGCTGCTCTACGAATGAAGGAACGGAATGTAAGAAGGTGTTTTGGGGTTTTTTTTTAGCATGCAAAACAAAATGGAAAAAAAAAAAAAATCACCTTATGCAGCGACTTATGAGGTTTACAGTACGTTGAAAAGTTGTGACTTCCACATCCTAACCGCCACGCGTTGCCTGCTCTTGTCTTGCTTTTTTTTTTTCAAGCTATTCTTACAGCACCTGTGTGAAGCTAAACCCCAAACACAAGGGCTCAGGTCAAGAGTGTTCCCACGTAGAATGATAAATCTAAAATAATGCTCCTAAATGTGTCTTAAAATTGTGTGCGTAGGGTTTAGATGCTTAGTAATAAATCAGTCAAACTCTATTCGTGTAGCACCTTCCACTGATAAGCCAACAAAAGGACAGATGCAAAGCTATGCGTGCAAAATGAACACACAGAAAGACAAAAACGTGGAAGTAAAATGACAGAAAATGTCAAAATAATCCAAATTTAGTTGAAAAAAACATAAAAAGACAATAAAATAGTTCAAACTAGATGGAAAACTCAATGTAAAACGGTAAAAAAAAGTCTGAAATAGAGTAGAATTTCACATTATAAAACCAAAATAAATGAAAAAAATATAGTAAGTAATGACCTTTACCTGTATTTTGGTATCAGTTTTTAATCTACATAAATAGATTTCAGAACTTCCAGGTGAAATGTTCTGGCAGGTTGCAGCATAAATGCAAAAAGCTGCCTCTTTGAAACGGTTCTAGCTCTGCAGTTTAGACCAATAACAGACTCTGAGGACCTTGACTAGTTTATGCACTGTGAGGATGTGAGACATACAGAAGATGTTCAGCAACAGGAAGCACAAGGAGTCATGTGACAGATGATATGTATCCTGCAGAATCCAGATCATGGAATCAGTTTGGGATCACATTAAGAAAAAAAAACATCCTGAATCCACAGAATTCCCATCTGCTTTGAAAACCTGAGCAGCAGTTTGAAAAACTGAGTGAACCTGCACCTGAAAGGAATGTTACGTTTGGGCCAGTGGTGACTGTAGGCCTCAAATGGACGGACAGTCTGAGGCCACGTGTGAACAGATTTTCACGCCGACATGCAGCTTCACCGAGCAGACTGAGCATGTGCGTCTGGATGTGAGCTGCAGCCTCTGCTTGGGTGTGATGTGCCACGTCTCACATATATTGAGCCCGGTGCGCAGCGGAAAGTTTCACATGAGGCTGTGAAAGTGCAGCGCTACATCTTTTCACACTTGTTGACGATACAGATTTAGAGACAACAGGAAGCCGTGCCGCTAGAAATCCGCCTTCTCGTTCGACAAGAGGTCTTACTGCTGAGACGCATCGCTGGTGCAGACGTGACGGTGTAACGGCTGCACGTGATAAATGTAGTGCTGTGAGAACTGCTTCATTCTAACAACGTTCTGTGAAGGTTCTGCAAAGTTCTTGGGATGTTTTTTTTCCTTTTCAGTTCCCAGAATGCTCCTCTTGAAGGTAGAATAATGTTCTCTAAAAAAACTATTTGACACGTTTGGTGATGGCATTGTTAGACCGTTATGCTCAAACATTCCTGAAATGTTGCCTTGAGAACATCTGTCCTTCATTATCCTGTAACAAATATGACATTTTACCTCAACAACGTCCTCAGAATGTTGCTTTAGAAAAAAAAAAAGTTTGTGAGCACATCATATTAATGTTCCGTCACCTGAGGCCTCCATCTTTTAAAGATTCTTTGAATGTTGCCTTGAGAATGTTCTTTTTTTGTTTTCACGTAACCTCTGACCCATCTTCAAAACATCCTACAATGTTTGCCGTTAAAACATTTCATCTCAATTAGCCTCTTAGGTACATGATTTTAAATAATGCATCTCCCTAAAATGTTCTTTCTAAACATTAGAAGTGAGACACAAAGTGTTTCTGATCCGGTTATTATTTGAGGTGATTTGTTTCTAACATATCGAAAGCAGCAGCTCAACACACACACAGAACAGCTTATAAAATATGATGCGTTGTTAGAGATTACACCCCATAACTATATACAGATGAATCAAAATGACTCCTTTTCAACGTCCTGCAACACTCAAATGTGACACTGCTTGCAACAGCAGCTTACAAGTGAAGCACACAGCGATGAGAAGACGAAGTAGAGGTGTGAATTTAAAGTGTGAGGAGGACGGTGGTGGCAGGTTTTTAAACTTTACAGCCAACATGATGCCCAGTCATTACATTCCAACAATGACAAAAACATCATTTTATTTAAAGCGTCATGATTAATGGCCGGGGTCCATTGGAAACAAAAGAACTTTGCTGCTCTTCAGCTCTCTGTGGTTTTGACACCTCCGGTCGACACCTTTGTCAGGATGCAGATAGATGACTCACACAGAGAGGTTTGCCGCTTGTTAATAGTGCACATAGTATTTATCGTACTGTAATGAAAACGCTACGGTGTCAGGTTTACTACTGCTTTTTCAGCTTTATTCACAGACAAATGTGACCTAACAGGCCAACACACCACTGTTTTCTTGCGGTGTGAGCTTCACTAACTCACACAACTGCAAACCTTCATCTGACTCTCACTGTAACGGACTCCAATACCCATAATACATTGTAAAAAAAATGAAAGTGTAAATAATGTCCACTTCAAAATTCTTTTCTTTTCGATGCGGTAATTTCTATTTTTTTTTAAATTTTTATTTAAATTTTATTTTTATGCAACACTTGACCATAAAATACACCGTTGTCACTATATTAAAACCAGCTGAAAAAAATATAATTTTACAGAAAATTGCCGAAATTTGAAAGAAAAAAATCTGTTATTCAAGGATTAAAAAAAATAGTAAACAAGTTTTTAAAGAATTATTTTACAGATTTTTGCTGTTTTGTTAAATCGCAGATAATATCTAGTAAAATCCAAGAAAAATGTATAAATTTGCATGTTGAAAAAAATGTAAGTAACCTTCACATCAGCACTGTTTAGAAATAAGTAAATAATTATTAATAAGAATAAAGTAATTATTTTCTTTTAAAATGTGTGACTGTGCAATAACTCTAAAATTTACTGTATTAAAAATCAGCTAACATCATTATTTTGCAGATATTTTCGCCGTCTTTACATTTCAGAGCTGTACAGTATTATACTGTTTGTTTGTTGTTTTGCTTTTTTTTTTTTTAATTTTTAAAAACTTTTTCCACAGATTTTGTATTTAATTTACAGGGTTTTTCTTGACACTGCACCATACCATGTAATACGCCAGAAAAAGACTCAGTTCATCCCAATTCAAAATCAGGAGGCCAGAATGCATGATTTGCTGGCTATTCTCTAACTCTCAATCCAGTGGAAGATGTGTCACATTGTCACATGTACCTGTGAGCAACACAGTGAAAGCTTAACGTGCAGTATGATGATGAAGTGATGCGTCCTACTTATACGATGCTGCATGCAACAGTGCATCCTCTCTAAATACAGCTGCAGTGCTTTATGAAAGAAAAAGAAAAAGTATTTTGAGTTGGAACGCACGGATAAATTCTCCAGAACACATTGTGTTACAGCTCTAACCATAACCTCTCTCTCTAACTCCCAGGAACTCTTGCTGCTTGTTTCATTTCTCACAGACGAAAATAATGTCAATCGTCCATGCTGATGCTTTGATTCCTCATATCTTATGCTAATTATTACTTCTCCCTGTTTTCCTTTTTTGCAATTAAACACTATCTGTTGGCCTGTGACAATGTTCAATAAATAAATAAATAAATAAATAAATTCCAGTTGTTGGAAAAAAAAGAGAATTTAATGTTCCAAAAGCTCTTTTTTTTTACACAACATATGTGATATACTCCCACTAATCAATTACACACAAAACTTACAATTCCACATGAATATGATAAATCCCCATTATAACCCAGAGCTGGAGTTCTTCTTATTTTGCAGCATAAATCACATGAGTCTCCACTTCTCTCTCTGATGCAGGCGTCCTGCGCCTCATTGCTGCCGAGTGCAAACTCAGAGTGGCGTCAGAGTCCAGGTTCTGCAAACAAGAACAGCCACAGTAGCAAATGGCTCATTATTTGGCAAGATTTTAGCATTTTGTAAACAGTCAAGCTTATAATAATCAACATTAAAGGTGGATTTACCTCCATCTGTTGTAGTTTGTGTCCTTCAGCGACCGCTAATCATGGAGACAGAACATCAGATCAGTGATTTGCGAGAATACTGCCAAAATCAAACTATTCAGAAGTTCTTTAAAGTACCCGTTTGAAGCTTCATGATTTTAACAGCCAGGCCGATGATGACAATGACGAGAAGAACAGTCAGAGCTCCCGGAATCACACTTATCAGCTTCCGTCTTCCACCAAACTCGTCTGCAAGAAAGAACGACTGAATTAGATTTCGCTGTTAGTAGCTTCCATTTAACTCGACAAAATGGAAGCATTTTAAGCATTCAATGTTTTGTTCAGTAAAATAAATTCTACAGAACTTCTTACTTTCTGAGTTGCTCCTCGTATCACCGCCGAATGGATCATTGCCTTTAAATGCAATAAAAATATCACTGAGTGTTGATTTTGTTTGAATCACAATCACATTTTGATATCCACTTGGTTGCATGTGTCGTTTTCACGCAGTTCTGAAAATATGCTAACGTATGAAACAAAACCTTTAAAAGGAGCTTACCTGCAACATTTAAATGTGTCACACTGAAAAGTAGGCGCGGACTTTCATAAAATCCACAGAAATACTGTCCAGAATCGGATGAATCCACTTGTTTGATTTTGAGAAAGATAGTAGAGATGTTTGAGCTCATTTCAAATTTTCCACCTTTGAATCCATCATAATATGTAGGCTTGCTGCTAGATTTGATCATGACGGAGATGCAGTCGACCGTGGCTCTGTTGTCCAGTCGGAACCAGAATGTTACACACTCAGAACTGGAAATATTGGAGCACCGCAGTGTGACATCTTCGCCAGGCTTCACCTCCACAGTCTGAGACCCACAAACTGTAATTAAATGTTAGTTATGGCCTTGTTAGAAACACAATAATAAAACCAGTAATGACATTAAAAGTAATTAAAAGCTGCTGCTTACAGAGGCTGCACAGACTTAAAGCTGTTATCAGAATCATCGCTGTGAACTGAAGTGAGCACCAGGAAGAGGTGTGAGTTCAACACAAAGCGGAAGATGTGTGTGTGTGTGTGTTTTTTTAAACTGCACACAAAAAGACAACCAGGAAAAGAAACTGATGCTAAAGCTGAGGTACAGAAGCAATGTTCTTTCATTAAAAAGGAAGGAGGGTAATGAAGGGATTCCTCTAAATTCTGTTATAGTTCAAAGACCATAAATGCGCAGAACTAATCTCATAGCAGTTATGTTTTTATCAACATGACAATAGCGTTCCAGAAGTTGCAGTCAGTGTCTTCATGACAGGACAGAAAAGTGATTTTTTTCCCTTTAAAAAAGTAAAAATATGTAAATCTTAAATCTGTTGGTGCATCAAACACAGACTTTTTTGTTATGTGTGCAGACAAAGACATACACCCAGCCTCAAGCAAACAATAGAAACAGGTATTCTTCCACGGATTTAAGCAAAATGAACCTCAACAATGACATTTATGTGAATCTATCATTCATTGCAATCTGCTCTATGAGGCAAATCAGTGTCAATGCTTAGTGAAGCTGCAGAGAAGTAAAGCTCAAGTCGGTATTTTTCATACAGTGTATTTAAAACAGCACCAATTCAGTCCAAGAGATTTCTATTTAAAAAAAAGAAAGAAAAAAAGATGATGACTGACATTGTCAATTAAACTAACAAGTTGAAATCAGAGAGTCAAAACCCTGTAGTGTTATTTATGGTGGGATTTTGATGAGTAATTCTCATCTTAGGGAATAAAAACCCAACAAAAATGATGTAAAATGCTACTTTACCTGACTTTAATACACAAAGGCTAAGTCCCTACAGTGCTATCACCTAGCTTAACTTAACCTTACTTAACTTAACTTAACTTAACTTAACTTAATTTACTTAACTTAACTTAACTTAATTAATTTAACTTAACTTCACTTAACCTAATTTAACGAATATAAATTAAGACCCTATTATCTATAGTAAATAACCTGAATATTTAGGGCCAAAAACTTCACTTAAACACAGAAAGCTATACACAAAAGGTGAAGATCATCATCATTGTATGTGCAGTTGTGTCACTGCAACAGCTTTATGTTTACTAAGCTTCTCTATGTAGGCTTCAATGTTTTTTCTTTTCACACTGATGAGGTAAACACTTCTGAAAAAAAAAAAAAACAGCTTGAAAGAAAAAAATTAAGTCATGGTCTATAAAGTATTTTATCTTCCTTTAATTGCCTGAAAATCTGCAAATAATTAATACACATAAATATTAATTTGTATTGAACCAATATATCATCTTAAAATAAAATATGCATCCCTCACCAATATCTGTCTGTCTGTTTCATACACTAAATAATTATTCAATCGAAAAAAAAAATCAGAATTTATAAGTAATCATTATTTTGGGGATAATTTGTATTCTGTAAATAATTTCAGTTTCTTCCTAAATTTCAATTGTTTCTTCAAAGTGGGGAAACAGCGCCCCCATGGATCACGATGCTTTTAAACGCGGGTGTGTGGTCATACGCGGTACTGCACCACATTGCAGTAAATCCCATCACCTGAGGCCAGGTGAAGCTGATTATCCTGATTAGTCGCCTCATGCTGCTGCGCTGCGCCGCTGGACGTGGGAAGGACTCCGGGAAAAAAAGTTTGTAGAACTAGTTAAACATTAATGAAATCTTTAAAAGTTAGCAATGCCATTTAAGTTAACCGTTAGGACGTTGCTTTTCATTGTTGCTGAAGGTACCAGCGGCATATGCTATGAGCTAACAAAGCTAGCTAACTTTGCTACCAGCTAAAGCAACTAGCGTGAAAGTAAAGGGTGTAGAAAATAGTGAACTGGGAAGAAATTGGTTGAAGACGAAGCTAACCAAAGGCTCGACGTTTTCCTGGGTTGACAGAGACGAAGAAGTCCGGAAACAGAAGAGAGTGGACTTCAGCTGAAACTTCGTGTGTGCGGGATCATAGGTATATTACGGTAAGCTGCTGCAATTCACCACACGTGTGCTTTTAGGTTAATTACGGCGAGTTGTAATAACAGTTTTAGATAGAAGTTATTATTATAGTTAAAGATATCTTTAATTCTCCTCAATTCAAGATATCTACATTTCTTTTTGTGCACACAGTGCTTAACAAATTTATCAGACTACCAACCAATGTAAGGTTTATGCTACAGCTGCCCTAAATTAGCAGCATTGGTCATTCATTTATTATGTTTCTGTAATGTTTGATACACCAGTATGCAGAAGTTCTTTAACTGAAATTATATTTTTAATGTTAAATATAATTATTATTGATATCCATGCATTTTCAAAGTTACTGTTTACAAAAAAAAAGAAAAGCACATTGTTGTTTCTTAATTAAGATGTCAAATTATAGTTTTCCTGAACAGAAAATGGAGTTTTAGCAGTTGAATATTTCTGAATTCTCAGAAATGAATCAACACAGGTGGTCTAATAAACTTCTTAGGCACTGCATCTTAAAGTAAGTTTGGCTTGTGCTAATTAATGTTAAAACTGCTTACATACACTCAATGGGAAGTGATCTAATGCAGCTGTTGTGACCTTTAAATACTGGTATGAAAATCAAAGACACCCACTCTTATTTCTGCTGGCTGTGTGGCTTTCCTGGCCTACCGAGGCTCTCTCTCTATAAACCACAGGCTGTATGTAGAAGATCGATGCTGCCTCCGGGTCTGTGAAGTGAACACAACATGGAAGTGCCTTGAGTTTGTTGTCTCAATTGCTAGTTTCAAGGCTTTTTAATTTGGTAAAATATGGCGCTATTTAGAGGATAACTTGCAAGGATGCAGGGTGTGTTACCTTGCAGTTTCCAGGTTGCTACCTTATCATTGTGCATAGTGTCTTTTTAGTTCCAAACTCGAAGCTTCAATCTGTGGTACAAACACAGCGTTGTTTTCATTCATCAAATGCTGAATGTTCTCTGAAATGGCTGTATGAGCTCTATTACTGCAGTTTGTCAGAACTTTATTTCTGCATTTGTTCTTGCATTATCAAGAAAAGCACAGATTCAGATGGCTAAATGAAATGCAGTTGTTCTTGTTATTGCTGTTCATGGTTCTACACTTAATTTAAAGCCTTGATTTGTGCACACTGGCTTACTGGGATGCTAAATGAAACAGAGCCATAGTGAATGTTTTTAATTCCACGTGTTTTACCTGACAATCAACTAATGTGACAATTTAAAATGCTGTGAAAAAAGACTATGCATGCTTTCCATGATCAGCACCATGGACAGAGCCATTCAGTAACTTCAGCCCACTGTGCAGAGCTTTCATCTCCTCCTTCAGGCAGTGAGAGTCATTACATGTCTTTGCATGCTTTTGCCTACTTGTGAACTCGCATTCCTTTCTCATACGCTGTCATCCTTCCTCTGAATGCCAAGCTTTGTTTTTTAAATCTGCTTTTTGTGCTATAATGTCACTGTTATTGATTTAGCTTCTTCTGTAGTGAAAATGGGTGAAGTTGTAACAGCTTTGGCCAGGAACTGCAGTACTGTCAGACAAGCTGTGATGGTAGAAGATCCACAAGGTCAAACTCCTGCTGCTTTTCAACACGTTCAGGCACACTGGTTGTAGATTCACCTAGTCAAGCTGATTAAGGGGACTCAGAGCCTGTTGAAGCCTTTTGTGTTCGAAGCCTAAATAGAAGGGGTGAAGAACACTCCACTGAAGCTGTTAAAAGCTGTGTCTTGCTTGAAGTGTTGGCATTTGTGGTTTCCCGTTTCTACATCTAGATGGTTTGAGCATTGACGCATGACTGGGCTGTGGTGTGAGAGAAAGAGGTTTCTTTTTTTTTTTTTTTTTTTTTTAAAGGTTTTTATTAAATGACCAAGATTCAACGTTGAAAGTTAACCAAAATGAGGTGAAAGCGACAAGACAGT